ACCACGGCAGATGCCACAAACTTAAAATAGAGTTATTACCATAAAATGTGTAAAAATTGAATGAATCTAAATGGCTTTTCACAAGCAAAGCAAGCATCAGGATCAATTGATTTTTTATACATCTCATATTCATTAGCCTTATCACTTATAGTAAAAAAAGAGAGAGACAGAGAAAAACCAGTTTGATAACTTGTTCAACTTAACAATGTCTATCCTGTAAAAATCAATATGTGAGTATTAGAACTGGACAATCAAAAAGTAAACATTTATGACATAACTTTACCATAATGTTCACTACATGAAAACATTAGTATATATATCCCTATTCTTTATCTAAATGCATTGCTTTTTTTCACAAAAGACTGTGATAAGGATATAATATTTAATCAATAACTCCCATCCAAATTCATTTCCAGAGGAATCCCCTAATCAAATTACCCAGATTTAGCCAAAAAAAAAAAAAAGAGTAGGACTAGTAGGAGGCTAACCATGACAAAGTTCTCTCCAGGACGGCACTTGCTGATACTATCTGCCTTCCTCCCTAACCTGTCTACTTCTGTATGTTTCAGTAGTTAAGACTTCTGTATTCCATCATACCAAGATTGATTAAAAGGAAGTAACCTAGCCTAGGATATCTAACCCAACAAACTGAGATGAATCAAGTGTTTCATGTTTTAATTTAACAAAAAAAGTACATGTGTGTCCTTAAGACCAATCCCCAGTAAAAAAGTATTTAAGACTTCTTTAATGAAAAATAGTTCAACTTCAAAGCTAGTGATATGTTTTGTACATGAACTTACAACAGTGTTAACTGTCAAACTTTAGTCCTTTATACTCATCCAGTAGCAGCACAGTACTTTTAATTTACTTCAGACATTTTATCATATTCTACGCCAAATTTACAAGAATCTATTAGAAATATATCCATTCAATATTGCCTATTAAAAATTGTCTAATTTTATATGAACAAAGTTTTAACTGATAATGTATGTGAATATTCAAAAATAATATCAATCAAGACAAAAGGGTGGGGTAATTCTAGGGACAAACTCTTCCATTCAAAAGTATGACAATATTAAAAAAAAATCTTTTTCTCTTGATGGTCATGTATTTGTCAATCCACCTTTTCATTCATTCCAAGCAAAATTAAAAATACATTTACATGATCAACTTTTGAATTTCCTTAAGTAAGAGCCAAATCCATTGCCATCTTTCACCATTTCAAACCTCTGAGCATGTTCTTGAATTAGAAAAATCAAGAACTGCCAATTAATGTGTGAATTAAAACAATATTTGGATTCTAAATGAAATACTGAAATATTGAAAAGTGACCCAATACAGGGTTCTAGCCCTGAACGACTACAAGTTAAAAAAAAACAAAAACATCAAGCGTAGTCCACTAAGGTAAACCCCAATTCAATCTGCATATTCATATAGAATATTTCTTAAATACATTCTACTGAAAATAATTTTTTAAATTGTGCATTTATATTTCATTCAAATCCTACCTTCACTACTTGTTAGATTAACCACTTATCAGTTACGTTGGTTGATCCTCAAGACTTGTTCTTCTTTTTTATCACAAATAGTAACCAAAATAAAATGCCACGACTGCAGATGAGAACTTTACTGAGGATGTGAGTACAGTTGATGATCGGAAGCCAAGTTTTTGGGAATGATACCAAAATTCCTCTTTGTGTCACATTTAGAAGTGCTGATTGAAGTTTCTATCCTAATTCCTATCACTTCTTAGTGGTTACTTGTATGTACTGAAATTCTGCATAAGATATCACCATACTGTGGCTCAATCAATGAAACAAAACATCTTTTATATATATGAAGTACTTCATTCTCGTTTCCCAGTCTCCTTGGAACTGTAAGCCAAGAATGTTCCGCTGGCCCTTGCAGCTGGGGCTGACAAGATAATCAGGATTTAAGACATCTTCCGCTCACAACCACAAAATTTATGAAGCCGCACTATGGAGATTTAACCTCACATTTCTATGACCACCTATGGTCCTTCGTATGATGCACATTTATTTATGACTTTATTTTTATAAGTTAAACCAGAACTGGAACATATTTGAAATATCTGTTATGAAAGTTGAATTTAGAAGCTCATAAAGATGTCATAATATGGCAGACCCTGCCAGTCAATTTATGTCACATCTTACTACAGCAGACAATGGAAAAGCAATGAAAAGCAATTTGGGAGACATAAAAGCTAATAATTCTGTTGTAATTTCCTGAAAGAGATCTGTCAGATTCTATTGCCATGGTGACAACTGTTTCATATTAACAAAATATAGTGAAACCAAAATTGTTGCATAAAATTGGCTATTTTTCATTATTTCTAAATATAAATGTCCCATACATCTGAAAAAAAAAAACTCATTGTTAATGACTAGCCAATATGTGAAAAATATCACCAATTATTCACTAAAATCATAAACTGACACAATGCACAATATCAACCAATTTCAAAATTTGGAGCCTGACACATACTAAAATCTAAATTCTTTCACGAACTTGCTAGTATGTGCCGTGAGTCGTGGAGCCGTCATGTGCTCATGTGGCCAACTTGAACCTAACATGATTAGGGCGGGAGTGCTACAACCTGACACCACCATCACAACTTACCCTGATGATCCTTCCTCCTGTGATACCTTGATACACATATATCACCACAAAAAACACTTTGACAGGTCTGTCATTGTTACCAAACACTTCAATTAACATATGCCTTAATATCTTGGCAAAACTAGATGTTTATGGTTGTATCTGTGGGGTTAAGCTGTGTTTCCAATTTTAAGCATTTTCTACAAATATTTGTCTATCAACTTTCTTCATCTTCATTCATCAATCCACTTTAATAACACTGCAGACAACAGATCTACCCAATTTGTGAACTATAATACTGACAATACTATGTAAATTAAATTTCTACAACATTTAAAGATAGCTCAAATTCTTAAATCTAATCTAATGTTGCCGATTAAAATACATCTGAAAACTTTCTGAATCATGAAAACATCTCAATAAGTATAAAGCTGAAGAAAAAAATTAACATCTTTGCTTTTGAGGTAAGACCATGAGGGTGCAACTCAGCAGTCAAACTGACTCCTGAAAGCCTGTCTATCATATGCATAATTCAATACAACAGTTAATTCAGGTTCTGAGGTAAGCTCAATCATCAGGGTGCAAATGTCACATATTCTCATAAACCACAGTATTATATCCTGCACCCATATATATGCTCAAATGTCACAACATGGTGAAGGCAGGTACCACACAATGCATTTGTCAGCCAGCAGATGAATGGACTGGTTTCAAATGAAATAAAGAAAATACGACTCCAACAACTCCATTATTTTCTATTCTTCATCATTTCCTAACAAACAGAGACAGAGCAAGCCCAACTGATTACTCACAGTCATTGTATCACGTCCTCAATTATAAATGATCCCCAGCTATTTTTGGAAGTTTTTTAATTGAAAAAAGAAGAAAAAATATCAATCTGTAAGCTAGATATTTAAATATGCAAAGAGTATGTGCCTTAGAGAAAGAGAGACTTAATTCAGCATTAATCCTGCATAACCTGCCAACCACCTGACAAATGGAATTATTAACCCTTATTGATTGTTTCCCCTAAACTTAATGTCCTAGTTACTTACATTATGCCACTTTAATAAGCTGCTAATAGAAATCAATTAAGTCGAAAGATGTTAATTACAGGGGTAAGGATTAATGTGTTTATGTACTTTGAGTAAATTGTATTCTTGAAAAAAAATACACATAATGAAACAATGAAGGGGGCTGTGAATGGATTATAAAGCCAGGTTAATGTCTGCCAACAAAAGTGCTGAGCTGCTAGTATGACACAAAGAAAAATACTGGCACTGTATTTTATTCAGTAAACTTAATCTATTGCATCAAATAAATTTCATGATTTAATAAGTTCTTATAAGTTTAATAAGTTCATGATAACTAAATATGGCATGACTTAAAATGGCTAAATTACTATTGGTTTTGACCTGAAAAGAAGCTTCAAGCTAATAAAAAGTATTAAAATTATTTAAATGTGTTAAAAGTTTACAGTTTTATGTAGTAGAATGCAAAAAAAAAAAAAAAAAAAAAAAAAAAAAAAAATTAATAATAGCAGTTTTCTACAAAATTAGAGGGAATATCAAAGGTAACTAAAACTGATACAAATGATACTACATATTTACTCTCTTTGGAAAGAAAGTAATAGATACATACTAACTAGGAATAAAAACTTTTTATGATAATGGCTTCTTATGTTTTTTTAAAAAAAGTTACTCCCCACTGTGTAGGTTCCACAAGAATATGATACATGTTGCAGGAAATGGAAATTTGTCTGATAATGAATGAAATTGCATGTAAAAGACTGAAATGCTTGTTTAAAAAAATTGGTCAATCATTGGAAAACATAAAAATAGGTTATTCATCACACAGCATGCAGGTCTAAGTTATTGAAATAAAGTGGCAATTATGAATTGTCAACTTTTCTGTGAAAATCACACAAATTAAAGATAGATCCAAGAGAAAAATGTAAATGAATGTAAAAACAAATGGAATAATAGGACTTAAAATCACTGGTAGTCTATTTGAGCTTTATGTACATTGTAGCATATACTATAATTTTCTTCTCAAACAAAAACAATGCAGGTTTCTTTATTATCAATATAAATATCAGTATGTAGTCAAAATAGATATAGTGCTTCACTAAATCTCATCTTTTTGCTGAAAAACTATTTTAACATCTGACAAGTATCAAGCAAAGTGTCCATACCTGTCATTTTCCTTATTGTTCATTTTCCTTATTCCTTATTGCCAAATGAAGATTTTAAAGTTACTAGTCCCATCCATGTTACGTACAGTAAAAAATAATAAGCTGATAACATAATACAGATAAAGTTTTTAGTAGAAAAAATGGTAACTTGTATGTGGCTAGTAAAAACTTAATACACAGCAGTTACCTTATTCTTCCAAATAAATCCTTGAAAGCAAGCAATCCTTTCTTAGGTTGAAGCAATGTTATGGGCTCTGCTGGTACATTCCATTTGTTATCCTACAAAAAAATGACTATAAATTATATCAAGCTTTGAAAAATATGGAAATAAAATTGTGTCAATCTTGTTGCAGTAAGACTTCATCCCAATCCAGGCCTCATGTCACACTGCACAGAGGACAATGCTCTAGTGGTCCCCACACTTAGTGAAGTATGCTTGCCATCCCTGAATTACAGTGTATAGTTACCTGGTGCTGGCAGGATCACCAGATACCTATGCTGTAATACCTTGTTCGGCTTTTTCCACAAAACAAGGTCACAAAGAGCATCCATCACCTGTGTCACCAGATCCCATACCAATGTCATGGATTGTAATTATTTGTTTTTCACCATTGACTGTGGCAGTGAAATCACATTTGACGACATAGTTTCCAGTCATTACACTACCATCATCATTTTGGTTTCCAATTCCACAGCAGGTGGGACAAAAACATTCACAAAACATCTACTTTGTTCTTGTTTAGGGTTGAAAATCAGAATGCAGGTTTCTTTAAAAGTTTCTCACAGAAAAGTAATATTTGTATGCAGCAAATAGTTTTTTTAACCTTTGTAACGATAAGAGCAGATGCATATTGAAAACCCTTCTCAGTGACAATAAATAATGAATACAGATGGATGCCATTATTGAAATATTTATCATTTTAAGCTACCCTTTGTGTCTCATATGAAAGAGTAAAGCAGCACAGCATTCAACAAAATTGATCTGATGAAAAGTTTATGCACTTCACATCACTGAAAACACATGGTTTGTAAATGGGATGTATATTACAAAAATAAATGCAAATAGAATATATGCATACTAGTGTAAGGAAAATGCCTGCATTTGTTTTCACAACTCACCTAATTTACAAGCTGTGATCACTTCCAATATGTATTGGACATTGTACTGTTTGATCTGTTGTCAGTCAAAAATGACTGATCATTGTGGGTGTAGGCAATACCCTATATTTAGACAAGAATGAAGATGCAAAAATAAACTAAGTGGAGACTGTCCAACCTATGACACAGCAAATAGGTGTACTGATTCTGTTGATGTGCTGGACAGACATGCCCAATATTAGCCAAGCAATTCCCCCTGTTGTCAGTTATTAATTATTTTGTCCTTTTTGCAATATTCTATGACTTGTAATCGATGTGAGCAATTCTAATTCACATAAGTCATTTTATGTATGTAAAATGAATATGAACATGAATCATACCAAATTAAACTTATTTTCTATCCAATGCCTTTTTAAAACACACACACACACACATACACTTTTTTGAGCTTACCTATAAAAAGTAGCATTAAAGCTATCTCAGTAAATAATGCAGAAAAAGCACATACTTCACTGCTGATGGCAGTGGAAAATTTAACTGTTATGTTGTGCTTTGATACCTGTGTATATACGTATTTTTTTTCTATGAATTAGTTTTAGTTTTAAAAACTTACATTAAGACACATCGTACTAGCTGGGTGGGTCAAACTCTGTGGATGCTTCTCACAAAAGTGCCATCGGTGGAATCAGCTTAATCAGCACACGATAGACAATTATCCCTAGCTGCTGGAGGAGGCATGTCAGACAATTAAGCTGACTCCACTGATTGCACTTTAGTGAGGATCCCCCAACAGAGTTGGACCAACCCAGCTAGTACAATTTTTGAATCGGAATTCAGTCTTAGAAATGTAAAGCAAAGGGAGATTAATTTCAAACAAAATTGTTTTTTAAATAATCACTGGCAGTTGCACTGAAAGTACAACAGCGCCATTTTTAAAAAAAGCTACAGAGGTACAGTCCAAATCATGACAAAAAGCCATCTACTTCTGAACATGTCTTCCATTAGTAACTATTAAAGATAATTGCCATTAAGTGCACCCTTTATGTAAATTAACTATAATAAAGGATGCACTGAAAGGTCACAGTCAGATGTGACAGAACGGTCCTTCCAACTGAATTCAATTTCAAAATCATTTGAATAAAGAATAAAGTTGAGTTTCTTTCCAAGATATTTAATTTGGGGTCATGTCGATACTCCCCCGCACCGTTATTCCCCTGCACCGATACTCCCCCGCACCGATAATTCCCCTTAGTAATTTTTTGTATTATGCGCATCGATACAACCCCACACCAATAGATCCCCGCACCGGTACATCCCCGCACCGATACTCCCCCACACCGATACTTCCCCACACCGATACTCCCACTCAGTATATCTGTAAATTGTAGGGGAATATCGGTGGGGAGAAGTATTGGTGCGGGGATGTACCGGTATGGGGGAGTATCAGTGCGGGGGACTATCGGTGCGGGGACGTATTGACATGTAACCTTTAATTTTATGTTATAAAAGCAAAGTGAGTATGAATATTACAGAACAAGAATTTAAAGGGGAACCATATCCTAGATATTGTCATCAATATCCCCCATGTTATTTGTACATGTTCACCTGACACCTGGATTTTCCTAACTCAACTAAAAATCATGTTTATTTGCCAGACCTATTTTAGGCACTCAATTCTTAACCACTTGTCTTCATATGCTCTTAAAGACAGTGAAAATATAGACACATTTTGACAGGCAGTAAGATTTGTATCATCTTTGTCTTCCCTAGTTACTACCAGTACATGCAGTATTGGAATTCATCTCTCATATTTTTCACTTCACAAAATTGTATTTTTTACTAACATATTGGCCTTGCTTAAAGGATAAACCAACTTCTAATTACTGTTTCTCTTCAAAACTGCTATTTTGAACTATTACTGTTAGCAGGGTATGTGTATGTGCCTGGCAGGTATGCTGGCCTAATGTTAGTTAGTGGCCTAAGTGATGGATGACAGCCCTACAGCTATAATAGTACAGGTGCAGCCATCATATAACTTACAACACAACACACTTCACTGTGTCACACTAGTCAGTGCACCAGCAGCTAGGTAATAAGATGGAGAGATTTTAAGCAAAAAATAGTTTTGAAAATAGTTCTAGCATTACCTAATCAAGTGAGCTGCGTAGGACTGCTGTAACATGTTTGTAATAATGAGAGAGTTTATTTCCAGTTCAGATAACATACCTAGTTTTCCCTTCCTCTTTGCTGATGGAATGATAGCTTTTGAAATTGTATATTAGTATGTTATCTTTTTAGTACTTTTCTAGTTCTGTCAACAGGATCTGTGTGATATCAGATTCATTAACTTTTTTGACAATTAATGAAGTTAAAATGTTTTAAGCATGGCATATTTCACTCATAAAATGCTAATTGCAATTTTATTTTGTTCCAAAACAAACAAAAATGCCCCTTTTTTTGTTGTTGATCTAAATGCAAATACTGAAGCTTTTCATAAAACCAACCTTCATTGGAACAGAGAAACTGTTGATAATTATTCATGTACATATGTATCTACAGGTTTTATCAAAATAAGAAAATATAATTGTTTTCAAATACTATGTGCCATGGTCATAACATTAGATAGCCAATCAGCTTTTTGGTTGGAGTACCGTGGTCCACAATGTAATGGATCCAACAAAAGTTGAGAGCAAATTATGCTTTTACACATCTATATATTTAGAACATAATACATTGAACATCAGACTGAATTCAAATCATATCATATAATACACATGATGCGATAATTAACTTTAATCAAATATATTAAATAACGAACAGTTCACCAGTTTTCTATACTTGCTATGACAAGTGTCATTCACTTAATTTTTTCCAAATTCTGATTACATTTGGCAGTAAAAGGGTCAGATCTCCAACTGGAGCAAAGAAGCAAGATTCAGCTTTATCACATTATCTTGGATGTGTTGTACCATCGGTAGGGTAAGGGTAGTAATTTTATGATAATCAAGTCATACCAGCTGCAAGATATAAACAATATATCCATAAATGCATAAAGTTGATGGCCGAGCTTAATGTCTATGATCATGATAGACAGTCATCATCACCATGACGAAGATAAAGACTGTCTTGTCTCTTTTCTGCCCCATTACTATATTACATGTTCTTCTACAAAGGACTGACTTTAAAACACTTTTTATAAGAAATGTAGGGTACTGATAGCTCTCTAAGTTTTAAGATTTAAAAGTTCTGCAGCTTTGTTGAAGCATTCTCTTATGCTATATTTACAAATCTAGGGTTATGCAGATATTTGCTTTATTTATGACAGACACCCAATTTACAACCTATAAGACCTTAGTAATGATATATATATATATATATATATATATATATATATATATATATATATATATATATATATTTTTTTTTTTTTTTTTTTGTTTTGTTAAATTTTAAGAGAATCGTGCAATATCACTGAGGGTCACTGACCATTTCTTCAGACACAGTCATAAAGTGATTAATGTTTACGAATCAAATGTACTAATTCTATCCTGACATGCATTTAACCAGCTCAGGAGCCTGCATAAAGTAGTTCATCAAATGTACAAAAAATATTGTACGTCTTCGTGCAGATTGCCCATATATCACGCCCTACATAACATGATATTATGTACCTGGTAGAGCATAGTCCAAGTACACAAAACATATCAGCATTTGTCTTTAGCTCCGAGTCTGTAAAACTTGGATTTCATGTCTGTCATCCTAGTTCTTCAGCTGAGACCAAGCCTGTATTGCCAGTAATTTCAAAAGGAGTCTTTTTCAGAAAAATCATATTTTTACCTCCTCAGTTAACCCAACTTGTACATGTATATTGTACATGTACATGGTATAACACACATCTATTTTGATTTTGATTCCATCTAATGAATGTTATATACAATCCACTGTACATATTAGAGCAGCAGACAAAAAGATTACTTTGATATGACATTTTTACACTGAAAAATTGCCAGGTGATATTGTCTAGTCTGTAACATTATTTGGGACCTACCATGTGCTTCATCTTGAAAGCTAGGGACCTGACAAAGGTTCAAAAGTTTAGGTCATTTTTCTTTAGCAACTAACTTGCAATAAACTGACTTTATCAGATAAAAAAATCTTAGGATGAAAAAAATTGAACCTTTCCTACAACTATAGGTCTCTCTTACATGCGAAGTCTCTCATTTAAATCCCACACTAAACGTTGGACTCTAGTTCTTTCTCGGTATTAAAATAAAGTGTGTAATTTGCCCAAATGCCAAAAAAAAAAAAAAAAAAAAAAAACAGAGGAAAAAACTATTCCCCATTTTCACAATTTTATACGATTGTAAGGCTCATCTTCCTCAAACAGCATACGGGTTACTATTTTAAATTAATTCAAAACCTATTTCAGTCAATTTTCTCATGTCATGTTAGAAGTTGCCACCTGTAGTGTCTATGGCTTTAGTCCCTTTCTCTGCTATCGGCTGGTCAATCTAACTCCCACCCAGGAGTGGCCTATGTATTAATCACTTTAAATCTAGCTATTACACAGTGTGAGAGGAAACTTAAAACTCCCAAAACAACATTTTCTAATCCATGGCTAAATAAAGCTGGAATAAGATAAATGGAATGGAATAACTGAATTACTGGGTAGGAACATCTATTTGTCCTTATTGGTTCAGTAGGACAGATTGCTAATGCACCTTAATTTATCTCCTGCAATTAAAATATCTTTTAATTCGAAAAAGTCAACCAAGTGCCTTAATGACCTATAAAAAGGAAGACTGGTTGAGATAATCATGCATGACAAAAATAAGTAAAAAAAATTGTTGTGAAGTGGCAATCATAACATTACACTATTCAATATGCCGCAATTATGAAACTCTTTAATTGTAATTTACTTGATATAACCTGTTTGGTATAATTTTAAGATGAATTTATGCAATAAAAAAGACAGAAGTTTTGCATCCATATCTTAAAAATAAATGTGGAGAATTACAATAACTTAAATTATAATCCTATTAGTGAATTTGAACTGCATTTTTTATGTTCCACTTTACCAATTCCATTTATAATTCCGTTTGAAACAATTTCAAATTGTTCTACCTTATTTACTTCTGATTTAAGCATTAATGAGTGTCATCTTTTTTATAATGAACCTCTAAGCCTGTTCACAAATCTAATTTTTCTTAGCATATTAAATTTTCATGCACAAAGGACCATGGGCAGATCCCCCATATTAACAAGTGAGGGGAAGAAAAAAACATTTTGTGCCCAATCCCCAAAACAACTATTTTAGCACACAAAATATGGCAGTACAATTCACAGAATGTATCTTCTCTCCCTTTATGGGAAGATCTGAGGTTGCATAAATAATTTTGTTTTGAAAGTAGCACCACCATCTAGACCTGTGCATGAGGGTATGAAATATGGAGTCAATCTCCCTCCTTTCCATATTTTGTTCCATTCAAATAAGTGTCCAAACAGAATGACAGTCATAAAGGTTGCAGCTGCAGGTGTGCTCTTAGCTATGGAACACATTCAATAGAAATCTTCATCAACTTAGTAGTAAAATCCTGATTCCATTACACTCTGTATTAAAAAAGACACAGTGAGCATACATTCAAATTTGTAGCATTCTGTTATGTGAAAAGCTACCTCCTGTTACATTTTATTGCAGGTCTATAATTTTTTTAAAACCTAGGCTAGATAACCTCTAATTACATTCTATAATGCTACAGCCTATTTGTTGATGACACTATCCTCCAAATCACTTGATCAAACATGAACAGTATTGCCATCAGTACAACAATAGGTATGATAGCATATGTGCTTTTGCATGCACAAACATACATTTGAACTACCAGTAATTCCATGTATATGAAGATGAAATGAATAGTGCTTTTTCAACAATAATCTAAGGGGGCATATTAACTACATTTGATATTTAATGTAAAAGATTTCGATCAAGCTTTTGATCAAGTTGGCTTTCCCAATGCCTACATCTTCTTATTCCCAAAACACTGCATCAAAACTGTTTCCAGATTATTCAAACATAATTAGTCAAATAAAATTGAGAACAAAGTCAAAACAATTATGAAAATGGCATATGTAAATCATTTAATTATTATAAATCACTTAAATTTAGCAAAAATAATTCACCCCTATGAAATCTCACAAACACTATAATGCATATGAATTCACTCTGCATTTAGTAAGAAAAAAAAAGAACTACTGTATTCAAATATTGCATATAAGAGGAATAACAACTCTTCATTTTTGTGGGAAAAGTGCCATAAAGTGGATTTTCCTTGGGTAAATGACACTGTTCCCTTATATACCAATTGTTAATGAATCTGTTTTGACATTCAAAGCAAGTCGCAAATTGTTTTATGTGTGTAATTTGTAATTTTCTCTTGAGATACCAGTAATTATCAAGGGTAGCAACCTATGAAGGTCCACGTGGTCCGATGGCAGAGATTCAAGAATAATCGTGATAACTGCCATTTTGGTAAATGAAATGGCATTTACTATATTCCTATGTATTGTTTACAATTTTTACAATATTTATTGTGGAAATTTGGAAATTCATATGAAGAGTTTGTTATGCCTTTAAATTCATTTTTATTATATTTTGTTTTATCCCCCCACCCCCACCCAACAAAGAAAGATTGTCTTACTAGTAGTTCAAGGGATGTTCAGAAAGGAACTAAAATCTCAGTCATCTTTAGCCTTACAAATGAGAATTTACATAAATGACAAGAAAATTACATGTTTTGTTACATATGTAATAAGCATTTGTAGTCAGTTACAAGATGGCATGCTAGTGTGTAACATTCAGCCAGCCCACTAAGACAATGTGGCACCAGAATGGGCAGAAGACAGCCATTTAGTGCCAAGTTTGCCGTCTGGAACTGAAAGGTATCTGATAAAATACAATCTTTAACTTTAAGGCTGAAGTAAAAAAAATAAAATGGATAAAAATGTCTGCATTCTTTGATTTAAATATAGTTTAAATTGTGATGTTTTACAGATAGGAGCATGCTGTCTCCAGGGCTACTCACCATGTCAGACCACAGATTTGTATCGCATAGGCTGTAATCTGGGATGATTTTTCTATATTGTGACATTTACATAAATAAATTTCAGGCTGCAAAAATAGAAGTAAGAGAGAGAGAAGGGGAGAGAGAGACCCAGTGAAGATAAATTATCTAAACAACGGATTACTTCTTTTACTATTTCAAAATTATACTACTTCTACAAATGAGTCTAAAGTTGAAATGAATATCACAGTGCCATGTGATATCTTTATGACAGTATTACATAAAGTTGTTATTTGTTTAAATCAAAGCTATCTTACCTATGTTCAAATTCACTGCTGTGTCAGCTACTCTTTGTAATCACTTAAACCTCCTTGAAAAAAAGTTACTATTTCAAATATTGTTTAAGAGAGAAAAAGGAGAACAAAGAAACCACTGAATGTCACAGGACAGTCTAACAGTCGTGACAGTGTAATGGAATAACAGGTCAACCCAGGCATGGAAATGAGGAAAGTTAAATTCATCTATTCCAGCAGAACCATATTTCATAATTTCCGTAGCATTGGCCTTTATTCATCTTTGTACACACAACCCGCATGACAGAATCATCTCATGAAAATGCACATATTTCAGCCACCAGTAGGCGTAACCATGGACGGTTATAAGAACTAAAGAACGCTCACTGCTATAACAAATGATGATGAAAATAATTACTTGCCGGAACCAATGAGAATGAAGTGTTGTTGGTGATGACAATAGAAAAGGTCATCAATCAGTTATGCTCTAATTCAGGTAGGACAGAAATGGAGGGCTTACCACATCCAGTTCTGTGTGTAGGGTACTAGTACCATATGCACTGCCAACAGGGGGCACAGCTCACCTGTGACAAACAAGGAGTTAATCACTAAAGCCATAATCACTCATGTATTCAGGACACTGTCTCTTTCTCATTGAAATGATATATTGTATTAACTGTTCTTTGCTGCTTAACACCTGTTGGCTGTTGGTAATGTGATGTTTATTATGCATGCAAGTCTCTACAGTAATATGCCATGGACAGGAAAAGTCATTAGTACAGATTGATAGTCCAAGATCTTACAATAAATAAATTTTCATTGAAGTGAAATGTCTTGGTTAAACATGAACAGGCAGTAATTCATAATGTTTTTAATTTAAAGGCTCAAAAGTAAAACCATCTATGTCTATTGAACAAAATGTCCAACCTACGTGTATGAACCACATACTCTGAACAAGCATAAACTTCTTATATGCTACTAATGCAAAACACAATGTCTGCTTAGAAAGATAACATTCTTCAAAACTTATCTTTTACTATCTTTAGTAATATCATGCTATAAGACAACATGTTTTTCTTTCCAATTTACTATATCTAAGTTCACATATGACATTAGACCAAACACATATCTCATGGATGTAAAGAATAAATAAATACTCTTACTTTTCTCCTCTTTATTTTTATTTATTTATTTATTTATTTTGAGAAATTGGCAAATAAATTAATAAGACACTAGTGCAAACATATATGGGAACAAATCAGCACCTATACATCACAAACTGAATGCTGACTTCTAACTACAATGTCCCTCTTCAATGACAATATCATTATATATCACAGGCCTGTAGCCAGGGGGATTTCGGGGGGTTAGAAAGAACCGCACCTTTTGCTGGGAAAAGGTCCACTCTGGGTAAAATTTAATGTAAGTACATGATGTTTTTATGGAAAAAGGTCCACTTTTTTAGAAAACGAACCCCCCTTTTGAAATTGCTGGCTACGGGCCTGTATCATAATAGTTATGATTTCAAAAGTAATGTAGTCTACGTAGATATAAGAGTTTAGGAACCAATTTCAATGTGCAAAACAAAAACTACAACTATAATGATGACTATTCACGTAAAAAAAATATAACTGAAGCACACTTTATTGAGTGGGTTTATACACAGATATGATATTCTGCACAACAGAAAAGCAACGACACTGCAGTAATATATGCATTAATTCTATTATATAGTGTATTTTCTATGCATATAATGTTAATGTCAGTTTATCATAAAATTGTAGTCATTAGCTGCCTGTTGCAGCTATTTACTCATCTGACACATTAATAGTGACACTTGTATCACTTGCTGATCAGACAGCAGGAATGTCTATAATGATCATGTACAACATCTTTGGCAGCCCCAGGTACTTAGTACGGCTGATCCACACGACATATTGACTAGATGTAATCAGCACTAAATATTTGCAGTTTGCAGTTTGTTAAAATTAAAAAAAAAAATCTTGAGTTATACAGTATGTATATTCCTTTAAATGACTGGGTAGTTATTTTTTCCCCCTTATAATTCTTATTTATAATTCTTATTTATCTTCCCTGTTAAAATTCTTTCTTTATATGGCAAAATATCCTACCTGAAAATTTACTTATAACAATAAAGTGTATTTCATTCTTTATAATTCAAATGTCTCCGTAGATTCAAGTTCAAAGATGAATTAAAGAACTGTTCATAGGATTTTCATGGCTCTACTACAGTTTGAATGTCGGTAGGAATGAATAAGAAAATTCGCAAATTGCAGTTTTTCCTGATGATATCTTAAATCAACCCATAGGACCAGACCATATTACCATTACCGCAACCAGTCTCTTGACTGCTAGTTATGCATCGACTTACCGTAACTTGGAGTGTGTTCTGATTGCAGTATGTCTCTGCTTGATTGTTGCAACAAATGTACGACCTGCACCACGTCTTTGGCTGTCTCATCTAACACAATTATTTAAAAAAACGCCATCTGATTATACATGTAGTAGGCCTACTATAAAGAGAAAAACAACAAAGTGTGGTGCTGCTCCCATGTCTGATACGCCTGTTGATCGTGTTAAGATGCCCAAAGACAGATTTATCTACTCTATACCGTTAGAAAATAATAACCGTTTAAACGTTTTTTTAATCAGCATCATATTTGAATTTCGTTCAACCTGGCGAAGTTCATTGACATCCTTTTTTTTTGTCTATCTAAGGTTTAAATTTGCAGATGACTTTTACACATCATTCATTGAACTGAGAAATGTGTTTTAGGCAGTTTTGTTGATCACAGTGACTCTGATTTTTTTTTTTTTTTTTTTTTTTTTTTGTAATGGAAATTAGATGACATGATTTCCGTCAGTTGCGGTTTTTCCGTTCACAAGAAAGTTCCGTCGTCATCAAAATTTAGTATTGCATATGACATTAGAGATCAGAAAACATGAAATTCATAATTTATTCTGTTGCATAAGCGATAATCAGCTCTCTTCATGTCTCTTGATCATCACCTTCAAGTATAAGTGTGATCACATCCATTTAATCTCTAATTCAACATTGACAAACAGCATGGAACGGACATGTAACATGAGGTGAACTTTTTATTTTCCATAAAATCTAAAAGAATAAATTAGTATATAATCAATAAAACAGCTCAACAACAAATAGGAATAAGTAGCCTACCGAATAACGGTCAACAAATTTTAACAAAGTGTATAAATTTACCCTGTAATAACATATCACAATAATACAACGTTAAAAGTATGTACCACTCAAGCTTGAAAATCCCAATGTGGGGGATAAATTTGGATAATATACCTTTAACCCTTACTTAACCTAGTAAAAAATACCTTCGTGTACAATTGGCATGTGCATGTATGAGAAAATATCAGTATAGGCTATTTGGAGTCAGTAAACAAAACCAAGATTCAAAACTAAAGAATATTATGACGATCCCAAAAGATGTCTCAAATTTAAAAAAAATAGATCTTACATCGTGACTGATAGTCTACACATTTCAGTCTTCAATAAACATCGCTTTGATTATTTCCTTATAGCATCTAACCTTCCCTCACAGCAAACATACATACATGTAAGGTAGTCCATATAATAAAACAAAAAGTAAATGTCTAAATAATATTTCGAAAACATCACAGTTTGCATCAGGCTAGCACCAACATTTGTGTGATCACGCTGGTGTCATCAAAGCAAAAACATTAGTTCAATGACCCTGGGTTTCCCAAAGATCTGAACCTCTCTGCCATAACATGAGAAAATGAGTCCTTAACACTGTTAACTAGACTGTGAACATGATGAATTAACACCAGGTCTCTGGCGTACCTTTCACTTTTATTCGGATAACTCTTCCAACCGGAAGGGGTTTCTGTTTGGTAAAATTTTACTAGACCATCTTCTGTTTCATTTATGAATTCGTTTATTTCACAGACTATGTCGTACATGAGATTCTCGAGATTTTCTAACAGATGAGTATCCGTGATATCTGCAGTTTGTTTGTGTGTCAAATATTCGGCATGTTCGTGTTCCCGTATGATCTCCAAGTGCATCGTCTCTTTTCGGAGAGATTCCGACACATTTCTCAAAAAGGTTATGCAAGAACCCTGAAAATAGAATATAGTATTACATTATCAAAAATGATTAGCCATGAAATTAATATGTACGACAATTAAATCCATTTTAAGCCTTAAAAATAAGGAAAAAAGAAATGTAACTATAATTATCCTATAAAGTTTAAACAAGCAGTTTTGGCTGGCGTTGTTCTACACCAAAGTCAACACATCAGTCCTTTTTCAATTTTCATCATGTTATTTGGTTTCAACTTACATTGCAAATGCCCGATTCATTGACCACTGGTCGTCCGTTCTCGTAATAGATCAGACTCGGCAGCGACGTCGGTGATTTAACGGATTTCAGTACGAAGTTGAAAATTTCAACATTGTCGTGGTATCTATTATTCAACTGGAAACGCATAACATCACAAACGTAAATAAGTCATTCAAAACATTGAATTTAAAAGCCTAGTTCATACAATTGAAACTCTTTGAATGCGGGCATTATTTAAGCTATATGTAATTAACACCGTGATGACCCAAGCCTTGGATACAAAAAGAACCGCTTTGCCATGTTCAAATGCAGGTAACTGATAGCGATATTTACCAAAATGATAATTCTGTCGTCGGCAACTATAAAATAGATGAACACTATTTTCTATCCTACAGATGCCTTTCTCAAAGGTACTGCATTTGTTGCTAATTGAAAGAGACCTTCCTCGATCAACGAGCCAATATTGTTAAACCAAAAGACCAGTTAAACCTTTTAATAAAACAATTTTGTAAGGGAAAGAAAATTCCTTCAATTTTTTTGCCTTTAAATACATTTAAAACGATTGATTATAATCTGTGCAGTGCCCTTACCCATCTTTTCTTGATGCTGTGCGCCTGATTAGATATCTGGATAGTGTGGTCCAAAAATACATTAAGCGCTTCCTCTAGGTTAGCCAATGTTTCGTTCGATATTGTGACAGCTTTCGGCACGTTATCTGCCTTTTTTCCACCTCGGGCACACGGCATGTTCCATCGAAGATCACTGGACGGCAACGGGGATGTTGTAGATAACTGTATCACAGTCACAAATACACTCACCAGTATCAAGGTCAGCATCTTTCCTACACATAAAGAGAATCATAAAGTGTTATTCACCACGAAGCCAATTTCTTTTCAGATCGAAATAACAATACGAGTGTCTAAATCTCGATTAAGGTTTATATATCTTTTTTCCGCACAACATACAAAAGAAAAGTTACATACCACAGTATAATAAATGATTATCGTAAATATGGGCACTTTGATCTTACCGTTCAAAGGTTAAAATTACAAAAGAAATCCCCCTTATTAAGTTTAGAACAGCTTCTTTTCAGACTATAACTTTTGAATTGTTAGAAGTTGTCTGATCTTTTTATTTATACAACATTCGGGGAAGTAAAATAAGAACATTTGTCATAAGAAATTCCGTCATAAATACTATCGCTGATCATCTGAAGGGCATGTTAAATATAGCAACAGAGACTTATGACTCTTGAATCCGGTCTACAAGGAGGATACAAAGAGAATTTCCGGTTGTTATATTTTATTAAAATTTCAAGAAATTGTTAGATCTCGACGTCACTTTTATGTGGCCTAAAAAGTAAGATTTAGAATTTAAGGAAAATGTGTCTTTTGCGTCCATAACAGAATAAAGTAGAAGATACTGCAAGTCTAGAATCTCAAACCACAACCTACAGGTTGGGAAAGGTCCTTCTTCATTGTAGATTTGAAAAACAGTATGCACTGCGTGCCTATCTGAAGGCATTTCAGTAATGGAGGATGAGGGGCATATATAAATGTCGTTAAGGTCATTTAAAAAAACTGAGGGGACACTATATTCCCGAGATTGGGGCAATGTCACTAGTGACTGCTATGTCATCACATAATGTTTATTTATAAATAGACAGGCGGCCTTCGTACATCATGCGATATATATATAATAAATTATATTTTATATATAATAAATTAAGAAAGGATTTTTGTGTAGATAAGTGAATGTGTATAAGGTTTGTAATATAATGTAGTTGTCGTGTTGTAATGGATGTACCCTTGGCCCGCGGGGCTGAATTACAGTTGAATAAACTACCTAAAACAAAATTAAAACATTTGGTCAACCCAAAGAATTCTTTCCTGGTCTGCCGGACTTCCCAATTCCGCTTGTGAAGACTCTGTGTGCTGGCATGGTGTCAATGTATGAGAATGCAACTAAACGCTCCCCCCTTTTTTTCATTACACGGATTCTAAAAGTTCAAATAGCTTTTCAGTTCAATTCATTTGATTTCCCTATAGCCTTACTTGTTATGGTTGGCCACAAGCATTTGTCCTGACACACGGAAGTTGATATATTATGTTACATACTGCTGGAAATACAGTTTTCCTAATTTTATGTAAAACCAGGTGGGATCGTGCCTATAGCAGAAAGTGCATTCACAGCAGATTTTGTATACAGTATAGGTCTTTATAATTAATAGCAAGGAAAGTCTGCTAAGCCAGAACAATTTATGTCGGGAAAGACATTTTTCAAAGTCATTTTTCAAACATTTGACCTTGAGTCTTTTTCATTTTTTCACGTACCCTCAACTCTACTGAAAGGTGTGACGTTTTTGGGTAGCAAAATCAACAGAACAGGAGCCCAGCTCTTTTGTCTCATGTACTTACGATTGTGGTTTGATGTACAGTATAATTAAAATGCTTATGGAATACAGCCACAAGGAAATTGAGTTACGATATTCTCAAAAACAGAATTTCGAAATAATTTTGACGGACAAACCAGACTTCCAGTCAGTCTCAGGGGCGGATCCAGGATTACTTGAAGAGGGGGGTCCGCGGATGCGAAACCGACCCCCCCCCCCCCCCCCGGCGTTGGGTTCGGGGCCCGCTAAAGGGCCCCGATAATATTGGCATGTTAGAGGGCGAATGATGCCTTTTGGTACGGTTTAGAACTATGATTCAACTAGTCAACATTCTAATTTCAAGAGGGGAATAAAAGTGTGATTTTTTTCAGAAATCGAAGGAGGGGGGGGGGGGGGGTCAGGACCCCCCTGACTTCCCCCCTCCCCTCTAAACCGCCACTGAGTCTAAGGAATTATGTTTAATTTAAGATCGTATAACTCCGATAAGTCAGGACATGACAGCAAGTACTGTCTTGAGGTTACTGACATGAGCTTAGTTTACAGTAAACGTATGTAGAACGTTCCGTCAAAGGTGAGCCTTTCAGCTAAATATTATCTAAATATAATCTTTTTGAAATAAAAGACGTTGTTTTTCTTTTAATCTGCTTGGGTTTGATGTCATAACGGAAAATGTGTCTCAACAATCCGCCGACAGGTAAAATTTTCGTATCTTCATGAAATCATGCGAAGGCACAGGTGTTGAATAGTGGGTGCAGCAGGGGATCAGGCCACCGGGAGGAAATTTCTTGTTTTTGTGAAGGCTTCAAGTGATATGGGGCATACCGGGGTATTGCTTCTGCAATATTAAGTAAAAAGTATCAGACCTGTCGCCGCAGGAGATTTTTATAACACCAAGCGGAAAGTCACAAGCTTAGTAAACCGAGAGAAAAGACAGGGGGTCGTTTGACGCACGTTTCCAAGAAAAGTACGTACAGAAATTTCATAATAACCACCCTGAGCTTCAGAAAAGCTTGAAACAAACCTCTACACTATAGCATACCCATTCAACTTTCACGCAAAAAGGAGGTTTGTTTGAATTTATTATTTTTTTATTTGCATTAAACTTAGTTATATATTTAAGGTTAATACATAAACATTATCTAATAATATCTTTCTACACAGATGCAAGACGGACCCACATCACACCACTGCCAAAACATTTGCGGTCTGTTTAGCGTGACTCCTGTTACAAGTGGACTGGGCTTCGTTCCTAGTTTAGAGTAATAGTTACACAAATTTCAATTTGCCTCAGTTTGAAACATGCAAGTCAATCTTGGCATAAACAGATGTACGGGATGGAAAATAAATTTTTGTCGATTACAATAACATGAACGCATTCCAATGTGAATAAGACAATGAATCATAGATACCGTACAATTTAATGTCTTGTCAATTCAATTTTCAAATGGATAAAAATGACGCAGCTATAAGGACATCGAAGCCATATGCTTCCTCGTTTTCCGACAGGACTCGCAATGTAGGAAACTTAAGACACGAAAAGTTTGAGACTCACGTTAATGTTAAATGAAGGATCAAGAAACACTTTTGTAGTATTATTACCGTTTTTTTTTCAAAAGCAACAAAAGTAGAGTTCATTTTATGATGCAACATCGAGACGCGAGTGAAAATAGCGTGAAAAAATCAGTCTTTATTCAATTCGAGTAACTCTCAATAGTAAGACAAACGTAAATTACTGCAAATATACAAGTGTTTATTTACAAATAACATTTTTTGGTCATAATTTACATCTATGTACAATTCTTTTACATTTTATGACATACATTTATTCTGGCAATAATGAGACAACAATTATTAGAGAAATTCAACTTTCCTCCCAAATGTGTTAAAGAAAGCCACACACACACACACACACACACATCTACCTCATATTTTTAAAAACATTTACTACCTTTTCTTATTATGTGGTCAGTTATACCTTCTTGATATACACCCTTGTCTACAATCTGCACTTGGCAATACCAATATGTTATAATTCTGTTGGCAGATCAAAGGTGCATGCTGGCTGTGCTATTTTCAATAAAAAAAATCTGCCATAATAATCCTTAAGTATGGACTCAATTTTTCTTTTCTTTTTTTTTTAATTTTTCAATATGGAGTCTGTTAATAGGAATGTTTATCAACACTGGCAGATGTCGTCAAATTTATGCATGTACAAACTAGTAGGTATCTAGTTTTAATGTGAATTACAGAGAAGAAAACCAGTTATGCCCTTGTGAGCAACACTAAAACCACTTGCAGGATAGTAGAGTTTAATTGTGGTATTCACTAAGCATCATCATGCCACAGACCTGTGTTATATGGTCAGAGCTTTACACTTCCAGAACAGCCCTCAGTCTGGCAATGTCAATCAGCACTGATGAACTGCACTTTCTTGGGATAACTTCTCATCAAGATGTTGTATGCCTTTCTATAATTTAGTAGATATCCATCTGTTATCATGCAAATTTTAATAGTTTGGCATCCAATTGCTGCCATCCTCCGGTAAAAGCTGCCCAGTTACAAGTAAAATGATGTCCACTATCCACCATATCCCAACTCCTCCCAATGTCATCAACTTGCCTACAGCTGTCCCTAACATGGAAATTTGTAAAAAAAGGTATTATATATATATATATATATATAAGCAGTTTCAAAGGCAACATTATTCATGAGGTATTGTGTAACTTAGATGTAATATCTCAAACTCCATGGAATAAGGCTTCGTTCACATGCAATGTCTATTTTCTAAATTCTATTTTCTATTTGCGGTATGTCTTATGATCACAGTCTGTGCCCTGAATATCCCGCGGCATAATTGCTGGCAGCGCGAGCCAGTTACTATAAGTTACTATAAGTAACTGGCTCGTGCTGCCAGTAATTACGCGGCGGTATATTCAGGGCACAGACCTTGATCATAAGATAGCGCGAATAGAAAATAGAATTTAGAAAATAGACATTGCATGTGAACGAAGCCTAAAACTTATCTTACCAGTGTGACCTAGACAAAACCTGTCTATGCCTAAAAAGCCCAGTAGAACAGAGTAGATGAGAGTGACAACAAAATAATGCCCTGTGTACCTGAAACACAACATGTTTCATGAATATACAACAATGTCTCTAAGGGTTTTGTTTGAAACATTATGAAAACAAAAGGATGATTTTTGTTATCTCTTGCTCTCTTTCTGAAATGTGTCTAACGATTTTAAAGTAAAGCTGTGATTACTACCAGAACCCTTCATTACAATAGCAAAAATGCACCCAGTAAATACACCCAGTAAAACTTCAGAGCAAGTATCTACACATGGCTGTTTGTAAGACCCTTACTTGATACATGGTACTCCATCCTTGAAAAAAGTTCTGTTGCCAAAACATTCGATGTAATCTAACACGCGGCACACTACTTTGGTCTTCTCCACTTCATCATACTTCTGGCCGCCCCACTATATAAAATAGCAGGGAATTTGGCATTAAAATCATCATCATCATTATCATCAAATTTTATACCTGCTGAATAATTTTGGGTTTGAAAACAAGACCTCTACAAATCAGTGTTAGATACAACCATGAGACAAGGCAGCAACTGTTAAGGGCAAGTACAAAATGTGATATATATATACCTATCCTACCCAAGTGGGGCAAAGCTGGCAAGTACAGCTGCAGATCATCTGGCCCAAATTTTCTGTGAAAATACTTAGTCAACAATTTCTAACAATGCTAAGCATTAGAAAAAATATATATACCATAATAAATATAATGGTATTTACCTTAACACAACCATATCCTAACTCATCCCTAGCTGTCAGGTTCCCATCATGATCAGTTGGCTCTTCACAACCAATAAACTCTTCTGGCCTTAAAAAACAACAACATTCTATGATATTTTTCAACAACTGCAAGCCAGCATATTCGGTTGACTGTGCATGACAACATGGACACCCCCCTACAAATGGATTGCAGGTTACTTTGAACGACCCAATAAAAAAAGTGAAGTGGAATAAAAAAAATCATAGTATGGTGAATGACAACAAAATAAACAACAATATGATTATTTCGGTACAGACCATTAGGTATAAGATCTTACAAATTCTAGATGACATTCAAAATGGTGAGAAAAAAAGGTTGATACACTACTGCTGTGAGCTGTGTAACTGGCTGACTGCTAGTGAGAAGCTACAAACTTAATCAAAGTTCTTGGATTAAAATATTAATTGGGTCTTCATGCCTAGCTCCTCTAACTCTTTTGTGGTAAATTTCAAGTTTCTATGACATCATTTAAGGGCTGAAAATCCAGTGGGGTAATTTTTTACTCATTTTTGAAAGTGCTGTCTCAAAAATGACAGATGTGGTGCTATTTAAACTTAAAGCAATAATAACTCTTCCTTTGAGATTCAAAATTCCACAAGAAATACATTGTAAACAATGCATGGAAATATATTCTATTCCATTTTACCACTAAAACAGCCGTTATTGTAGTAAAACTAAAATCTGTGCTTGTCAGATGCCTTTCAATGCCTTTCTTCCCGGTCGTCAAGGCATCTGTTGCCAATGACATTAGGGTGTCACGCAGATTCTCGCATTCATTCGAGACCAGAATAACATCTGGCGCCAAACCCCTGATGCAATACGCAGATGTAAGTTGCGAGTTTTTGTACAGTGCATCGGATAATGAAAAGCCCAGAATTGCACACATTGTAGATATAAATGCATTTTGAGCAATAAGACGAATATATCTTATGAATCTTATATTATTGTTATATAGCGTTGTTGTCGTCTGCTTTTGCCGCGGTTTTAAGTAGGTCACCAGAAACTATGCAATGTCAGAGAGGGCTCCGTCAGTTAAAATCTCTCTTAATCTCTTAAGAGATTTTAACAAAAAACCAAACGTTTAGGAAAAAACCCTAGACTAACTTTGAATGCAGGAATGGGGTCGCTGACCATTGGTAAGTACGGGAAAATTGCCGTTTACTCTAGGAAAATCCAGTTTTTGGCCAAAACGAAGAGCTATTATGACTTTAAATAACTTTTGATCGAAATGAGAAAACTAAAAGTATCAACTGTTTAATAATACTCAAATTTGTGGCTATCTGTGTGCCGAATTTCAAGTCTCTAGCTCAATTAGACAAATCGTGTGTAACCCCACTTAATCAGAAAAACAGCAAAATCCCTGGTAAATCTAAAAGATAGAACAACAAGCAATGTCTTTCGTCCCTCTTCCCCATTTGAACTCTAAATATATTATTGATAAAATACATGTGTGACGGCTCGATGTGTACCACTTACTAGAACTAATATAACATTTATTATTTTATGGGGTAAACTTACAGGTACTCACAGAGGACCAAAGGCCCTTCAGGGTTATAATGATACCCCTCTTCTTCACTGTATCTTTCTTGACCAATTGGTACGTATATATTATCTGTTTGCAGATTGAGAATGAGAACAAATTGAAGTAAAATAAAAAACAAGCTGACGACGGCTGCTCTCAAGGAAGCAGCCATTCTCATACGCACGCCATAAAGTAGTACTTCATACATTAACCTAACTTTAGTTCGGTACACTTTTAAAGCATTGTTCTCAAAATAATTAATTATATGTGATTTCAAGTAATTAAATTCTTTGCCATCTTAAATATATTGGATAAAGTTATTTCGACTAACAAAACGATAAAATCAATGGTTCTAAAAATACGCTTGCATTATACACTTTGCAAGACAAGACAAACTCCAGGTCATGGAGATTACAAGTCTTTTCAGGGCGACAGTGAAAACTGTTCGCATGAGGCAAAAATCTCAAGGCTTGTTAGCTGAAAACGACAAAACAAATATTTTACCCAAGGCAAAACCTAAAACCTGCTTTGAATCAAAAGCGAAGGATGTTGTAAGTATATTTTCGAATACAGTGACACGTTGCCGTTGGCCACACTCGCCAGTATGCTAGTACAGTTGGGGTTTCAAGACATCTGAAAATAAATAAATGTACCGTGAAACTACTTATTAATATGTGGTCAGTCCCTGGGCGCCGACAGAGAGAGAGGGGAGGAAGGGAAGTGGAGAGTTTACTATCCATACGTTTGTAGAACTAAATCTAACTAGTCTGCCATGATACTGATGCAACTCGAGTTACAGTTTCACGAAGATTGTGTCAGCCTTAATAAAATGCAGAGATGCCAACCTCATCTAAAATCTGGAGATTCTAAAATTTTGCTCAGAGAGGGGGGGGGGGGATGGGGAAGTGACCACTCTCTCAACCCCCCTTCCCCCCCCTTCCCCCCCCCCCCCCCCCCCCAAACAATTAGAAGAGAATTATGAAGTTAGCAAATGATCACCCAACTATTCTGAAGACAAACCAATTTTAATAGTGTTTTGTTTTGGGTATTTGATACAGGATGTTAGCTGACAGTGGTGCAAATTTTTGAAGTCTCTTTTATCTGGGAGATTTGGTTACCCGTGCTGGTGACTGGGAAATTTGTACTGTCTGTGTGAGACTCCCGGATTATCTTGAAGAGTTGACATGTATGAAAATAATTTTTTGTAAAACTTATTTTTATAGTTTATTAAAAGTAAAAAAAAATTTTTTTTTTTTTGCTATATTGTTAGTGACCTGGGAGTAAGAGAACTCAGATGTATGTTTTCTGTATGTTCTGCTCTAGGTTAATTAAAGTAATAATAACTCTTCCTTTGAGATTCAAAATTCCGCAAGAAATACATTCTAAACAACACATGGAAATATATTATATTGCATTTCACCACTAAAACGGCTGTTATTGTAGTAAACCTAAAAACTGTGCTTGTCAATAGGGCTTTCGGTGCCTTTCTTCCCGGTCGTCAAGGCATCCGTTGCCAAGGATGTTGGACAAACACGGATTCTCGCGTGCATTCAAGACCAAAATAACATGTGGTGGGATAAGATATAGCAGGCGCATTACACAATCCTCAGACGTAAGTTGCGAGTTTTTGTACAGTGTGTCGGATACCTAAAAGCCCGGGACTGCACAGGTTGTAGATATACATGCATTCTGAGCAATAAGACGATTATATCGTATGAATCTTATTTTATTGTAATAAACTGTTGTTGTTGTCTGTTTTAAGTAGGTCATCAGAAAACCCTGCTCGATATCGCCATGCAGAATTAAGTATATCAGTGCATGTGGTAAAAGTACAACGTTCTCTCAGTGCAAGGTCTCTGAATGTAAAACATCTTATTTACCTCTGTTGACATGCCATTGCCCTCTCTATTATAATCCTTCTTTTATTCGTGTGAATTTTGTGTCATACTCCCTTCTTCTTTTTATCCCTCTTATGAGCTTAAAAGGTTTTTCTTCGCATCGACCGCTGTATTGACTTGTTAAATTAGGGCAGTCACAGGGTACGCCTGTTCACTCGGCCTTCACTGATAGAAAGTAGGTTGAGCAGTTTTCTCACACTTCTTCCCACCTGTTAATTCATATGCTAGTATCTGAGTCACGTGACACGCAAGGTATGTTACAATCGCAGGATGTAAATGTAATTTTTAGCTCTTTATTTCTACATATTGGGTGCATGTTCAACGTTAAATTTGAAATAGATCTTGTTTATGTGGAGTGTTAGATGCTGTGATAGTGCTGTTCTTGTGAATAATTTCCAACTAAAACCACTTTGTATGCCTGTTTAAACTTAAATACGAAGAAAACTGTAGACACTTTATTTGGCAGTTAACAGAAGAATATACACATGGGATGTTCATATTTTGGCAGGAGAAATGATGTTATGTGTACTAATTAGACTGTTCTGAACCAGGTGTCAACAGTAGCATGCAACCCTATGTGTATCATTCATTGGAGACCATTGTCTTTAACCAAGTACAGCTAGCACTAAATACAAAATATCTGGTTGTCCCACACAAGTTGTCTACTGGTCAGCAATTACTTAAAGAAAAAGTCTTATCAGGATTTACTGAGTGAAAATGGATTCAATATTTGAAGATGCACACAAAATCTATATGTGATTGTCTTATATTATGTTGACAGTTAGCCCATGATGCACATATAACCACTTTTTCAACGGTGTGACTGAATTGCGCAATACACTGCAATACAGCGCAATACACTTGAAAAAACAAGTTCAGTTGCAATCACACAAAAGAAACAGCCATTTCCAACAAATTAGGGTGATATAAAGCAAACTACATTACTATTTAAGTAATATCTTAGTAAAACTTAACAAATCGGTGAGACTTTTATATTGTCGGGTCAGCAGCCATATTGGTGAGTAGCTCTTCTTGGATATATTACTGGCCATGCAAGATGGCCAACACGGCAGCTGAGCCAACATTGAAAAAATTGTGTCAATCTCTTGCGGTGTATCAGCAATATTCATTGCTAACTGATATATTTTGATTTCATATCAACCTATTTTGTTTGAACTCACCCTTTCCAGTGTTTACTTAGTAATTAATATTGCTGATACAACTTGACAATTTTTTCATTGTTTGGTCAGCCGCCATGTTGGCGAGTAGCTCTTCTTGGCCAGTAATATATCCAAGAAGAGCCACTCGCCAACATGGCTGCCAACCGGACAATATAAAAGTCTTGCTGATTTGTTAAGTTACATCAACAATATTACTTACCTAGTAATATAGGTTGTTTTTATATCGGGGACGTCTCGATAGTCCGAAGGTTCATTGGTCCGAAGGTTCATTGGTCCGAAAAGTGGTAACATTTTCATCGATTTTTTAATCAAGGGTTCATTGGTCCGAAGGTTCTATAGTGAACATTCGGACCAATGAACCTTCGGACTATTGAACCTTCGGACTATCGCTACGGCCCCTTTATATCACCCTACTTTGCTGGGAATGGTCATTTCTTTTGTGTAATTGCAACTTGGATTTGATTTTTGAAGTGTATTGCGCTGTGTTGCGCTGTAATTCAGAGTATTGCGCATTTCAGTCACACCGCTTTTTCAAACATAAAATTTGGTAACCTAACTTGATGCCATGTTATATTGCATTACCATTTACAGGTTTCCAGCATTACGAAGCTCAGAGATTTTCTGTTAGAACATAGGAAAGATTATATAAATGCATCCAGGTAATCTTAGAATTTGATGTATAAGTTCAGATTAAATCTTACTGGGGTGTCTAATATTCATAGTGGAGGATTGCCATAACATAAATAAAAAAAGGAAAATTGGTTTCAGTTTAAAATGACCTTATTCTTTAACCTATTTAAAATTGTTATTATATTCAGTTTAAATCAATATCATTCATCTTTTCTTTTAGTCATTTGAACACAAACCACCAGAGAATGAGCGACTTTGAGAGAGATGAAATTGATGAAAGTTCGCAGGCGTTTATGAAAGCTTGTTCAGAAACCATTAAATTTTTCAAAGCTGATGGTGGGTTGAGAAGTGCTTAAATTTATTTAATAAATCAGCGTACCTTTTTATTTTGTATCTGATTTGCTATCAAAAGAGCTTTATAAGGGAGATATCAACCAGTTACTATTATATTATATTGTAATTCATATAAGATTTCAAAATTCAAAGTACAAACATTTATTTGATATTTTTCGTCTAGAAATTATCAACATTTGCAAACTGGATCAATATAATATTAAATTAGTCATCTTTTAAATTATTCCATTTCTTTTATTTATTTATATGTTTGACTGTTTAATTAATATATTTTTGCAGTTGGTAAAGAGAAGACAACCCAACAAGTCAAGGAACACAGGGAGGCAATTCTGGAATTATTAGAAAATTATTTGAAAGGTTAGGCTTTTAACTTTTTATGTACAGTGAAAATGCAATTTTTGAGCAAGGGAATTAATGTAATCACTTAAATGAATATTGGATATTACAATGGGTTATTTTTTTATAAAAATAGGTTTAAGAAATAATTAGTGCAAAAAAACAACAACACGTTTTGTCCTGTTTAAGTCGCAATTTTGAGGTGCAATTTTTTCCAGTGTTGAATTATACTAAAATTTGAATACCATATCTTTGTTTTTCAACAGTTGTGTGTAAAATATACAGTGAACAGAAAGCAGTGAGAGTAAAGAGAGTCTTTGACAAGAAAAAAATGTAAGTTGGATTTGGCTTTCAGTTTATCATTATTGTAAACAGAATGATGTATATTTTAAAAGAAATTATTTATTGTAATTTAATGTGATGTTGACAGTTTTAATTTCACAGTCAAGGCATGTTGCCATAAAATGAAACAGTTCTGAGTTCAGTTGTATATAAGATATGGTCACAGGTGGTATGTGTGTAATATCCAATATGAATTAATGAAGTTATATAGGGGGTACAAACTGTAAAGAATTATCTTGTCAGAGTATCTAACTTTTGACATCAATTATTCCTCTGACAGTGGAAGACTGGAACCTCAAAGGCGTCGCAAAATGAAAGATGAAGAAGATTCCACCCACAATTTGACCACAAAATCAAATGGTACTGTTTATAATTAGATATGTAAACAAAATTTCAAGATTTTGTGTATTTGTTAAACCTTTAATATTTCTGCTAACAAATTGAGATATCCAGAATCATATCAACAGTGATGACTTTTTTTATGTACAGAGACATTCTGTACATATAGCAATCAACTACATCTGTTGTCACCTTGCACTTTTCATTGTTAACACAATAAATGGATAACTATTACAGCAGCTTTATTGGACTATTTTTCTTGAAATGCATACATTATACTGTATGTAATCCTTGTTTAGACATTAAACAGAAAACATTGTGACTTAGTAGCCTGATACTTACTGGAAAATTTCATATAAACTACTAACATACAGATCAAGTTAAAATGTGAAATTTTTTAAAATTAATTTTAGCATACCTTAAACTACTTGTAATTGTTAACACAATAAATGTTAAACCATGTAACTTATCGCCAGACTAAATGAAGTATTTTATAGCATTAGAATACATGCCAAGTTTGCATTTTTATGGTATTATCCACATCCAATTTCCTTAAATTCATACTCTTTTATGTTTCACCGGAGACTTCTAATATTTAAACAGTTCTGTTACTGATGTTGGTCTGTACATTTGACAGCTTTGTTTGCCAAGTTTTACCTTGTAGAATAATGTTTTTTAAGAAAATATGCAGGTTATTGAAATGATAGATATGTAAGGTCTTTTTCACATCAAGCAAAACAGATAACTGCACTGCTTCAGTTTTAGGGATTTACTAGTTAAATAGCTTGGCTATTATATACAGCATAGGAGGGTCACCTAAACCAAGTCCTTTGCTAGACCCAGCCAGTTAACCAAATTAATTTCAATTTTAACATTGAAGCTTGTGAAAGGGAGTAATCCCCCCCCCCCCCCCCAAAAAAAAAAAGAAAAGAAAATATATTGTACTTGTTAGGACAAATCAAACTGGTGTGGTGCTGATAACTATTTTGCTCCAAGTGAAAAGATAATCAGTTGTTAAATTTACTAGGCAATTGCTTTCTTTTTATGAAACATTATTACGAGTATATTTCTGATTCAGGAGTATACTTTTCATGTTTTTTATTTAGTCTTTAATCTTAGATAATCTCAGTTTTGCACCTTGTTTTCTCTCCCCCCCCCCCTCATCTAGGTCATTATCTCATTATTTAGGTGAGCCAGTGCAGGGACCTCCAGTAAAGAAATCCCACACAACAAAGTTACCACTATTTGGTGATGAGGATGGGGATGAGGAAATATCACAAGAAGAAATGCAGTTGGTGAGTTTCTCAGCTAACACAGTTGTTCTAGACTTTCATCAGGCATCATGTCTTTTAACCTGAGCAACTTGATTTATCTTAGTAACTGCAAGATTTTTAAAAATGCTCATATTTTTTTCCAGTTTGAGCAAGAAAATAAACATATGTATGAAGAAATGAATAATATGGTGGATGAAATTAGGTGAGTTTCTAAGTATTTATGCCTGTGCTTTTTCATTAAGCTGTACAAGTAACCACAATTTATTATATTCTTAACTGCATATTGATTTTGTAATGAATTAATTGGCCATTAAAAGAAGGTACAGCAAGAACACTTCATGTTTGATATATACATTTTATTTCAGGCAAATAGAAGGAAAAGTTGTAGAAATCTCAAGGTTACAAGAAATATTTACAGAAAAGGTGCTGGAACAGGTCAGTATGGGAATTCCTTTCTGTGTTAAATGGAGACAGTTGATTTCAGAGGAATTTTTTTCCACCTCATAGTCACTCATAGTAACTGATTGTATGCCCTAATTATGATATTGTCTGAATACCAATCTCTGTGTAAACATACTTTGAAAATTATAATTGTAATTTCAGTACCATAGTCAGAGAATATATTGTGAGGTCATAGTTGTTGTAAGGGTGTACTTGCACCAAAATAATAAATTTCAAAACTATATCATCTTGCAAAGCCAAGCATACTTTATATTATTCCCTTATATAGATTGATTCCTATCTTGCTTCTTATCTTAATACTTTCTTGGTTGTGAATCTTTTAAAATTAAAAATAAAGATCAAGTTTTGATGCAATTCTTTGCAACATATTTTTCAAATGACCACATTAGGTGGAGATTTTAAAAATGAGGTCAGCTATGCTATATTTAATGCTTATCGCTAGACCAGAAAAAGAATCTATAACAGTGTGAACAATAACTCACTTCTGCATGACAGGGATGCATGTCAACCAGGAAATAAAAGTATCCGCATAGTTATTTATCCTGCTGTCTCATGTATTTAGACATGGCATGCTAGGACAAGTCTGTAACATTTTCTTCTGCCCTGGAAGTAATGACCATTACAATACAATACAAAAACTTTTCCACTAACTGTTAAGTCAAATGTTTCATGTTACATGTATATATAAAAGTCAATATACAAGGAAATTCTCAATCTAGTTTGCGATGTTGATATATGCACCATGCAAATGATTTCAAATTTACATTTATTCCTGTATAGAATTCAAATTTACATTTATTCCTGTATCACATTTACAAGAATGTTGCATGACAGTTTATTATGTAGCACTTGTGAGCACAGTTATGAGTACATGTAAGTTGCATCTAAGAGAAAAGGAAACAAAATAGCAAAATCATTTAATAAACAGATTCCAAGATCTGATTTAAAGATGATATATACACTACATGTTAAAAACAACTGGTGCATGATAGTAATGATACTATCCAGTGCCTGTCGCAGCAGAAGTACATCCCTATAGTGCATATACATTATGCTGATATTTCCTTCTCTTACAGGAAAAAGATATTGACAGAATTGGAGACACAGTGGTTGGGACAACAGAAAATGTGATTGAGGCAAATGAGGAAATTAGAGAGGTTCGTGGATCATCTTCAGTTACAGAGACAGATAATTATTTCTATCTGTTGAATAAAGAAACTTTTTTTACAAATGTTTTCCTTAATAAATTTTTTTTAATTCTTTGAGAATAAAAAAAGATTCCTCATTAACATTCTTCATATGTCAACTAAGCCATTTCCATTTTTTCCTTTTATATTTTAAGGAAGTAGGCATTTAAATCAAACATTTATATTAAACCAACATGTCATTGATAGTGTTATGTATTCAGTCTATATATTATGTGTTTAGGTCTAGTAATGGAAAGCTTGTGGCAGTTAGGTGTCCTTGTACCACTAGACTGCACCCAGTGGTACTTGCTAGACCACAAAACACATGATAGTAAACCACACAAGTTGTCTAGTTTCTGTCGCCACCTGCTGTCTGTACATGTCTTGTACACAAGGGGGTTTGTCCTTTTCAGGATTTAAGAAAAGCCAAGTTTTTATCTGAAATGCACAAACTTAGGAAAGCCTGTGAGATTCTAATTTGAAGTGTTTTTTCATTGTTACAAAGTGCATGAACAGACTTGAAAATGGCAATCAGAATCTGTAGATCTACATGTATCTCCTTTCAATAGAGAAAGACCTGTAAACAATGGGAGTATTTCCAAAATAATGAGGAGAATACACATAACTGTGTAAAATATGCAACTTTGTCTGAAGAATTGGATTGACATGCTTGTCTTGTGAATGAGAAAATTTAATGGGAAAAATTATGTTGATGATAATGCATTGTACATCATTTGGAAGATCATACAGCAGAAAATCATGCACAATTATATTCCATCAATAATTTGTGTGTGGTAACAGCAGTTCTGTGTTTACTTGTCCGCTGTCGACTGACAGTGAAAGAATTATCATTTTTATCTTGGATGATGAATAATTTTAAAATACCAAGACCTGGCATGTCATATTATCTTACAGGCATTATGCACTGTCATGATTTTAAAAACTCTCTGGGTGATATATTAAGGCAACGTTCAGAGTACTTTTAAAAATGTTAAGGAAAAAATTGTTAGAGGATGGTCAGGATCATGTGCCAGAATCAGCATAGGACCGTAAAGAAGGGATATTGGGAGCATTAGAGATATTAGAGATAGGGATCTAATACTACACCAGTTCAGCATACTTATTAGATTATACTTGCACTAAAAATGCATCTTAAACCATAAACCCTTGTCATGTGGCAGTCAGGGGATAATTCCTTGGTCTAATCTTTTTGTCTTTTATGTATTTGCTAGTTTTGCACAAACTTGCTTCAGATGGATGGTTGTTAAGATATGTGGTCTTTTTCATTTTGACAGTTTTCATATGACAGCAGGGGTTTCCCCAGAATTTGGGGTATTGGGAGTCCCAAATTTGAATCTGTCACCTATTTACATGGAGTCCAACCCAAGCAAGTCGGGTCCCCACCCGTCATTTCCCCAAAATTTTGTAAGCCGCCCAGCCATCTCTCAAAATATAGGCAGTCTTTTGAGGCCAGTAGCCATCCTTGCATGACAGTGGCAGTCTTTGTGTTGAATTTTTTCTCATGACATAGCAACAACTTTAACACCTTCTTGGAAGATTGCCTGTTATTCTTTTATTCACGTTCTCTTTCTCTCTCTGTGTGTGTGTGTGTGTGTGTGTGTGTGTGTGTGTGACTTCTCAAAATACTGTCACTTAAATTCCTATCGACTTTGTCAGGATAAGTTTTAGTGTGCAGGTGGAGGGAGCTGTGAGAGATGGCAGCTAATGGAGCCCCAGGGTTGGGGTCCTAATGTTACAGTGAACACATATTATGTTGTACCATTTCCAATACAATAGAGCAACATCCTGCCTGGGAAATTATCCCCCCTCCCACAAACACACATTTATGATTGCAAAATTATTACTTTTATTGTAAGTGTGATATCATCACATTTACAGTTGTTTGTAAGTAGTGGTGCATGCACCTTAATTGGGCTGTTATTTCTCCTCCCCCTTCACTCCTGTGCATTACAGTACTACATTCCAAGTTTTCTGTGGGTTTCAAATTGCTATAATTTGAAGTATCATCATGTATCCCTCTCACATATAAGACTATATCATCCATGATACTGCTTTAATAAATAGAGACACAAATTGCAGTGCACTGTTTACATAAGACACACTTTTACGTCAACTTGCATTGATGTTTGTGCATTTATATTCGAATTCACAGATTTATTTTAGTGTTGTAGATTTTTGTCTGATAATCTGTCCTGTGTCACTCATTGTAAAGATTCTGCTTTACTGAAAATACCTATGTGTAGGTGGGTCTAGGGTCTATAATTATAGTGGTGGAGATTGGAGGCAAATGCCCCAGGATGTTCATAGATATGACCATTGCATGACTCACCTAATATATATTTATTGAGATCATTTTAATAATGCTAAGGTGGTCATGGCTTCTTGGTGGAAAAAAAAAACTGAAAAGGGGGGGCTGGGGTATTGAAAAAATTTGTTCTTGTTCTATTACTGTTTGCAGTTTTAGCATTGAGCAAACATTTTAACAAACAAAACCTGGAAAGGCTATTATTATGTTTCAACTTAAATTTTAATGGCATAGAAATATTGATAACTGCTGAAAATGAAATAACATTTGTATGCAAATAAATTCAGTCAAAACAATCAAGTTACATATTTTCAATGCCACTATATCACCAAAGCAATTCCCCTTCCCAGAGGCATAACCAGGGTCCAGTTGGGGGGGGGATGGCATAAATCAAATTTGCATGTTTTTGCCAGTTATGAATGATTTTTGTTCTCGTTTCATATGTTTTAGGTTTGATGACACGAACACAAGATTATAGGATTTGGGCATTACAACACCCAATCCAATCCCCACTACACCCCCGATTTTGTGTGATCTGGTTGGGGGTGGCTTAGGGCTGGGGGCAGACCTACAGCTACCCAGGATATGACACTGATGTATATATATATAGATGTGCTCTTTTTTAGGCTATCAAGAATAATGCTGGTTTTCGTGTGTGGATTCTTTTCTTCCTGGTGGTGCTGTCCTTCTCCCTGCTATTCTTAGATTGGTATAATGCCTGAGAGGGATGGCAAATTAAGCAAAGAATGAAGACATTGAATTCCAGTGTGCCAACACATAACATGAAGATCATTATCTTAACAGTTCCGACTGCCTTCTACAGATCCACGAGGGTTTTATGTCATGATGTGAATATCAGATGACAGCTGACATTCGTGACAAAAAGGTCGAGTCAAGTTAAGTTCAAAATTATGTTTAATATACGCAATGATAGCTCATGTGGGTGACCCTTTCTGAGAAATTGCTGTCAACGGAGCCAAGGATGCCGTTACTGTAAAGTTTTATGGATGCTTATATAGCAACTTCACAATAGATGCTCACATAGTAACTTCACAATAAAGCTATTTTATATATTATTGTATATTGAGCAACTGTTACTTTCATGAAATATTTTGCTTCTTTGTCATTATTTCAATATAATGAATTTTATTGTGCTCTTATTAGTTTAAAAATAATTTCACATGCTTATAAATGACATTTGTATCTCTTATGATAAAAATAAACACTTAAAGTATATTGCAGTACAGTTTATTATCCAGTTTCCAGGTGTTAATTCACAAGAAAAGTAAAGATAATTGTATCCCATTTTTTCCACCCCAAATAAATGAAAATGATTTACTCATTCATTCTATTAAGTTTGCCTTATTGCATGTAAAATTATAACAAAATAATTTGAATGTGCATCTCTGACAGCTGGAATATAAATATAAATCTCGCTTGGTACATATAAATATCAACCAGCAATGGCAAAGACAGCTTTTTTTTCTTCTGAGCAATTTGCAAAGCATCTTAAATTGACTATTCAGGTAACATGTATATAAGATATATACTTAATACCACTCCTGAGGTCTATTTCTAGTTCACATAAACATACTCCCAAAAACAGATGGTGGACCACGCTCTATTACAGACTGATTGCCTGACAAATTGAATATCATATTTTCAATTATGACATTTGTCTAATGACAGAAAAACCTTACAAAGTTTTATTGTGCTCTCCCCCACCACTTCCTCCCAGAGACTAATATCACAGTGGACAGCCAAATCAAATGGAGCTACCCCAACAACACAAATGACCACAATTTATATTCTTTGGGCAGTGTCCATCACAGAGTAGCACTGGGAACATAAATTCTGATGCTGGTTTCTTCATTTCCTCTATTCCACTACACATCCTTTCTTCAAAATTATGTTTCCATACTTGGAACATTCCCTACAATAGCAATAAAACGGTAAAAATCAGCATACAAGCATATAACACAGCTTCTTTTGTTTTGAACATTTAATTTTGAAGAGGAGGAAAACTACTGATTATTTTTCCACACATTACATTGTTGCATAGAGCATACACTTATGCTTCTAATGTGTTGTTATAAAATATATGCAAGTTCTTAATGAATTTCCCATAAGTTAAATTATGACTTTCTGATTTCCTGACAGTCATAAACATTTCCCACTTTTAAAAACTACAGTCAAACAGAAAACTGGACCCTGAAAGTTGAAAATCTTACCCTGTTTGAACCACAGCAAATGCTCGCTTTGCTCTCTCATAGAATTCAAATCTTTCTACTTTTTCCATTTCTACCTGAAAGAATTGTAGAAATATTAGTTCTCTACACTGGCTCTCTTGCTTAAGTAATTCTTGAAGGGTTTTGTTTCTCCATTTCTCCCCTACTTACTTTTTTGCCTGCAGCAGCATCTACCAAAAGCTGGTATTTTTCCCAAACTGGCACTTCTAATTTCTTCTCTTTATCCGACAGTACCAAAGCCATCAGAGCAACCTTTAAGTAATGTGAAGATTTTTTTACTTTTAATATCTTTGGACAGGTATATCTGAAAGACTAAGGCCTCATTCAGAATGGGGGACTAACTAGTTCGAGGGTCAAATATGTCCGACCCATTTGAATACTTCCCCATGGGATATCTCTTCAGTATCTATTAACGGATTAGATGGCAAGCTGTAGTGGGTCACCATATTTGACCCTCGGACTAGTTAGTCCCATATTCTGAATGGGGCCTAAACTACAGCACCTACCACAGTGATAACCCTGACATGTCAATATTATAAGTTCACCAAAAAGAAAAGGGAGAGAAAGAAGCCTCAACTGCGCACATGTGCAACATGGCAAATTAAATTCATTCCATTTGTACTAACAAGTGAGGACTTTGCAGTGGCTCTGCCAATATTTTTGCACTTTTTACTCTTTTTCAACAATTTTCAAAGCACATGTTGTTGTTTAAAGTGTAGGGAAAAAATGAAACAAATCATAAGTACGTATTCCAATTCATCTTAAAAGACCTAACAGATTCTAAGTATACAGACTCAGAGACCATATGTACCTCATCAGTTATTGTATGAAACCAAATTGTATGCCATCTTGTGGTTGACCATGTGGTTTTGATAACTATCTTTGTACGTTCCACAATTTGATAACTTTGACACTAGAAGTACGACTAGGCAAAAGGATATGAAGTGAAGTACTTCCTGGTAAGATATATGTACAGAGCAGTCAAGCAAGGAGCAATAAATACCCTAAATTGATGATCTGGCTACCAAAATCCTGTGACAACAAGCAATTTACTAAATACATGTTGTACTCACAGGTTTTGGAACATAGGAATCCAGTGGAAACACCTTTAAAATGGCAGCAAGAAGCTCTGGAATCCCATGACCTGAAGAAAGGAATGGTTTTTGAGTGGTCATTACGGCATCAAAATAATGATTTTATTCCCAACTACAATGTATGCCAAAATACATAAAAAAGGTTGCTATGGGTGCAATACAAAAAAAAAAAAAAAAGAGCTGTGTCATCTTTTGGAGACAGTATATGTCTTTTCAGTGCGTTAAATCTTCCCATTCTCTATACAGATAAGCCACTTTCAATCCTTAATTTATTGAAATCATGACAAAGAGAGAAAACACAAGGAAGTCATGTAACCTACCTGAAAAACAAAACCTTAAAGAAATACTTATTAAGCATTTTAAAATAAACTTGAGAGTGATGGTTAATGATCAGCTGAGTACTCAAAAAATGTTGGTTGTATATTTTTTTCCATGCTGAAATTCCGTATGCAGCACATTAAATGTAATTTAATTAGGAACTCATGGTTGGTAACTTTCACCGTTTCCTCATATTTCCTCAAGAATTTTTTTCTTGGATATCACGATATATTGAATTGAATGTAATTCACTTGCAAGGATGTTCTCTTAGTTTTGAATTATATTTAAACGTCTTTCATCATTGGCCAAGTTACAAACACTAAACATCTAACAAATATTTTTCTTTACTTTTTAGATACTCCAACAAAGTACATCTATATCTAGTAATTAATTACGTCCACATATAACAGAGAGACTTAGGCTGGACATGGGAGCTCACACACAAACTCTTTGAGTTCAGGTTAGTCTGTGGTGAAATAAGAAACATCCCCTTTTTATTGCAAGCAAGAGACCTGGCACAGTGACAGACAATAACATTGGGAATTGTCTTGAATGAAGCTTTCGTATGCTGTAATTTAATCTGAAAATTAAATTACAGCATCTAAATCACACTAAGTTTCACCATATTTATTATGCTTGATAGGTTTGTGTATTAGTAAGCCCCCCGGAAACAGGCCTTGGTTTAGGGCCTAAATATACTTTTAGATGTTCATGTTACTGACCTGTATCTAAACAGAAGGTTTATTTACAATATATATCCTTTCAATGCTGTGAAAGACTAACATTCTGTGCAGAGGAAAATTATGAGCATGATGATATTATCTTATTTGCATATCAGAAGGATTAAGGGGTACAAAATGTCAAGGAATTAAAAACCTCACCTGGCTAAAAGGAAGACCTCAACTTTTGTTAAATTAAATGTTATTGGACTAAGTGTAAACTACCTGGTTCATATTAAAGAGGAATAGAACACAGTTTAACTTAGATTCCTGACAAAAAGATTAATTTTATCAAAATGAAAAAATATGTTAGTGTAGTTATCAAATAAGGCAAATATAAGGCATTATGATTATATATAAAAATTCATAAAGGTTTCAAAAAAGTATAGAATAAATCCCTGACTTTCCAGTAATTACTTTTATTTGTAAAACAAACAAACAAAAATTAAGAAAATTTTGCTTTACATTGATACTCATGAAACCTTTATACTGTAAGGTTCATCTGTATTCATGGCCTTTCTTTACAAAAGTGAAAAAAGTTTTAACCAGTTGTGAAAAACTTTACATGTGATGTAAAGATTTATATTTGTAAATATTACAATACATAAAATTCCTGCATAATTTACAATAGAGAGTGATCAAATCTACCAGGAAGTATAATTATATATGTGTGTGTGTGTGTGAAAGGGAGGGTAACACTGGAGATACTCCCCTTTGAATACCAAAATTACCTAACACAGAAAGGTGCTGCTTTCTTTGAATATTTGAGCTGTGACTCATGCAATTTCTATCTGTATCTAGATCCACAGATAATACATGTAACATTACAAATTCACTAAATGCTGTTCCAGGCCTGGTCACATTGTTAAAACAATAAAAATGGAAAATGTTTTTTCTAGATAATAACTCCTAAAGACCAATTTGATAATGATTTATGAAACAGAAATTCAGTTCCCTGTAAGGGGATTTTTTCCTAAATTTGTAATTTATGGAAAACTAACAAAAAAAGTACCCCATGTACACATACAATTTTTGAGTTATTCAAAATTATCATGAAATTTGTGAATTGGAGCAGTTTCAGCTCAAACCAATGTCAAAATCATTAAGAGACTCAAAGTTTCAGAGCAGGTCTCAAAAGTAGAAGCAGAAGCGGTAGCAAATGCTTTTTGACAATGTGATATGGGGGCAAAATGCTACCATCTTCAGATTTGGAAGAAAAAAAAATAGGAAGAAAAAAATAGAAGTTGAAAGAAGTTTACTGCAACAAGTTTCTATTACAATTGGGTGGGGCCCAATAGTGATGCACATTACAAAAACTATAAGCGTATAATTTCATCTTTGTCAGGATTGCTTGCAAAGAAGTCCTCAAAATGAGTACATCCTGTCTTCACCATGACATTTTATACTACAGCAAATATCAAGGAAAAACTACTTTTAAGGACTTTGTATGAATAAACATTCTATACATTTTCAAATATTTATTTATAAATACATTACCATTACTATTATTATTATTGTTGTTGTTGTATTTTTTCTATTTGGTTGAATTCATATCTTGTATTTGCACTTTGTATATTTTCCACACATGCACCTGTTGCATTGTGCCTGGGCCTTCTATTCTCAAAATCTGCTCTAGTAAAACTATTGTGAGACAAACACTCATCAGCAAGGTGCAGCTGATATCCACTTATGCTTTGCACTTGTATATATCACACATCTTGCTGACTTACGGTGTATTTATTACAAATTTCATAAATAACAGAAACACTTTTAGTCAACAATATGTAAAGTAAATCAGAAATGTATAAACACAGCATCCCTGCACTTTGACATACAGGTTAGTATATGTATGTCAAAGAACTAGTCAAATGTGAAGACCCACTTACTAGTATATTTCCTATATATACAACTGACAAAAGTAATGGCTTGGACACTGGCGTACAGCAATCAACTCATTATATACAGATATTTTTCAGTTAAATGATGCTGTGACTTATCTCAGCTATGCTATACCTCACAGCAACTAAAGTAAGTAACTGACATTTAACCATTTACCATTTAACAAGGGATAACAATTCTTCACATGAGATCCATATTTCACAATAAATACATCGTAAACAACTAATAAAAATACAGTTAATTCTATTTTACCACCAAAACAGCTGTTATCACAATTATTCTGGAATCTGTGCTTGCCACTGGACCTCCATCGATGGCTACTCTCTGTGATAATCTCTTAAGAGATTAAAAAAACCAAACTTCTTAGAGAAAAAAAAAACAGGGATTAACTTAAATGTCATAACAGAATCATTAACCATTGGCAAGTATGGGAAAATTGTTGTTTACCCCAGAAAAATCCATTTTTGGACCAAAATAAACAGCTGTCATCCCTTTAACCAATATATAAATGTCCACTTGTACACATGCACAAACGTCTGCATACACACAAACATGGCAAGTATGGTCTTACCAAGCATATATGGATGCACTTGCAACAGAGATAACAGCACCTCCTTTTCTTGACCTGGTTGAGCAATTTCTCAAACAATGTACAAGATAACAGGCATGGAAGAGTCTTAAAGCCAAATCATGGCAGACTTTTCATAGCACAAATTTAACTACAGAAATCATATATGTTTTTAAAATAATTTTTTGTTGTGTTATTTATTTATTTTGTCAAAGACATGACAAATTGATAAGACATATTTTTATCAGTTTGTTTTTTATATTTAAGGTTTAAATTCTCAATTTACTCAAGTAAGCCTACACGAAGCACGTCCATGATAACCTTTTATCTGGCTACTATAATCTGTAGTTTATTTTCAAAGAAAGCTTTATCATGTTTTTATTTTCATACCTGGGTAACCAAGGTTAAGGATAAAACAATGAATACCTAGTCAGCTTTTCAAGAAAACTACAGTATTGTTCACTCACCATCAGCCCTCAACTCCTGAAAGAAACAAACAACTATAAGCATCAACTGTTACACAGGAACTCCAACATCAACAAAATCAAACGACACAGGACCATTACCATAAATTTCATTGAAGTATATTTATTTTAATTTTATTGATTAAATATGCAATGAAGGAGAATGGTTAATTATTATTTAATTCACTGATCTTCCTACATTTTAAATGCATATATTTAGAATTAAATTTAGGATACAATGAAATACTATTTATAAAATAAAATTGATTCCCTTGACAAAATATACCAAACCCTTCTTCTCTAATCCCTAACTCATAACATACAATATTCAAATAGAAATAAAAAGGTCTAATTAAAATGTCACCATAGTGCTTAATAAATGAGTTCCGTGGGGGGCTGGATGACTGACTCACCTTAGGTCCATTGCGGCATATGGAACTACCAGGGAAGTGGGCATCTGCCAGAACTAAAACATGACCAAAATTAAAACATTAATGAAATCATGAAAGCATATTTTTCCTAGAAGATGGATGCCTTTGGGCATAAATGTTTGCACTGGTAAAATCAATTTCACATTTTGTATGATTTATTGGCAACATTTGTCAGGCAATGAAAGTTAAGAAATATTACATGGTTTTATGCTGCAGCAATGAAATATTCATTACGCACACCCTTTCTTGGAAAATTCAGCATGGGGGTACCAAAATGACAGATTCATGTTAATTGATCAATCATCACTATTTGTTTTATCTATTCATTTCAGATGTAAGCTTTATTGGGTCTATTGTCAATCCATATTGTTATTGTGCTAGAAGAGTTTCATGCAGCAGATTTCATTAAAACTACACTGAAACACAAGCTGTACAGTACATGATTTTCCCAGTTTTCCCCACTCCCAGGACAGCAACTGATAACACTTTCACTGATGTAATGCCAATATTCCATGAATTTCCTATTCTACACATATTGTATATAAATAAGGCTTTTTCATCAGTATACTAATATACAAGATAAACTTGGCACTAACATGATCACAGACTTAAGTAGGAGCATTTTATGATGTCACCTTGTATAGCAGGCACTAAAAGGAAGATTCAAACTCAGGGAACCCTTTTTTATCATTTACTCAGTTGTTGGTATAAGCATTAATTTTGAGCACAAGATGTAAGGTAATGTGTATGTAACTGGCTATATACATGGATATTGTAGCTGTCAACAGAAACAGAAACATGAATATGAGATTGTTTTTGTACTATAACAGTATATTTTTCTATTTTCTTTTTAGATACTTACTCATTCCTTTAATTATGTAATGATTTATATTAATAACCAAATTAAGGCACATTAATTTGTAGTACTATTATTCCCCTGCTCATATGTGTAAGTGCATTTTACACAAAATTAATATATGCAAGTTATTTTGATAGTAATTCTTGTCTAAGCCAAGAAAAAGAAATTGGTCCATATTAAGTACCTGTATTTTCAGTTAAATACTTGATTGTTGGAAATATTTATTCCAACAAAGTAGTACGGTATGTACTGGTATTATTAAAATGCACATTCATACCAAAAAGCCAATTATGTTTACCAAATAAAACAAGAATGTTAGAGATTTTTTATTATCATCATAGCATTTCTTTTCTATTGACATACTCCCCCCCCCCCCCCCCCCCCCCGTCCTTCTTTTTTTTATGTCATTTCAGTAATAACGAGTATCTTCCAGCGTGACAGTGCCATTAATAATACCAGTAAATATAGCCTGCGCATCTACAATACAAAGGGGAGAGGGGAAGAGCCCTGCTGGAACATTGTTACCCAAATAATCGACGTCATGAAGTAAAGAGTGGTCATTTAGCGGAACCCGGAAAATCCTCTCTTTTGATAATCCGATAGTTAATCCGCCGTTGATTTCCACAGGTGAGACAAAATTCCAATCACTAATCAGTATCTGGTCTCGAACATTTTTCGATCTCTTAAATTTGAATACTAAACATTCCTAAATATTTGTCACCTGGTTTCGTGTGGTATATTGAAGTACTGAAACCAAACTATAAATTGAATAAAACCACATAAAACTGAAAACATGCATCCCTTGTTCGGAATTTGCCAACGAAGCCGGAAGTAAAATCATGCATTCCCCTGCGGACCTGCACACATTTTACGCTGTACATATAAACACGATGAACCGTAACAGTACCCCTGGTCTTACCGATTTCATCTCCATGTCCCATAGAACACAAAGCATGTAGCAGATCTGGAGATAAGATAAATGGTATTCCCTTCAACGGCATTTTAATTCCCTCGGTGTTAGTGTCCTTTGAAAAGTAGGTCATAAAGTTGACTCGTTTTCGACTTGAACGTTGTTAAGTCGAGTAAGGAGGACCCAAACAGGGAAGTCCCTCAAACCAAGGAGTTATAACTCCTTGCTTAAACTTATGCTCGAATTAAGATAATGAGGAAATTTGATCTTTTACTCAAACTGCTGCTGTTATGTCGCTCGCTGTCACAATTCCTGATCTTATAATAAATAAATGTCGCATTTCTACCCCCTCCTTTTTATTTTGGGGAGGGGGGGAGAGGAAAATGAATAGGCCTACACATTTTTAGTTGGAGGGTGTGTGTGTGTGTGTGTGAAGCCAGTGCTCCCCCATGTGTTTGCAGTGAACTGTTCAGTTATGAACATAATGTGCACTTCACTGTGAACCTTTCTATAAATAACCAAAGCTGCATACTCCTCTTTTTAAAGATCAATAGGCCTACCAATGGTGAAAGTGTTTTACTGTCTACATGTAATAGGCCTACCCGAAGTTTAACTCGCAAGATTCCAGGTTAGTACGACTAGTACGCTTATCCTTGTAGATTGCGACGTTTAGGGCCTATGGGGAAAATGTGGCAACTCAATTTAGTTAACAATTTGCCGATAAATATCACAGTAAGTCAAGCAGTCTGCGCAAAAGAAAATATATTATCTTAAATATGATTATTAATTTTCTGCAACCGCTGGCATAAGATGGTGGTAATTCTGTGTTGCGGTCTCACTGCGGTACCTGTAAAAACTTTCCGACTATCGTTGATTTCTTCACAAAATGAAGATATATGGACTTTAAACCAATAATTCATCGTCCGCAGAGCTGTATACATTATGACTTGGTCGTAACCAAACAGTTTCCGATTGCGACATGTGCGTTGGCCACCCAGAGAAAAGAAAAGAAAAAGAAAAAAAAAGAGGTAATGGGCATGTCCCGCTAGTACGTAATACGTGATCCCCGCGGTTCCTGTTTCTGTACCGTTGTAAAGTAAAGTGGGGTATTCAAAGCCGATGAGGGTAACTTCCAAGTACGCGATGAGTCAACCTACATGTAAGTGACATAGCTTATCTAGACATTATCTTTCGGATCATCCGAAACGGCGCTACTATTTTGTCGAAGTAAGATTAATCTTTTCTAATGTACAATAATTTGTGATTACACAGGGTTTATTGCATAATTGTTGAAATATTCGACAACGTGCGAATCCGATACGGTGGGGGTTCCCCGATTTTAAATGCGGCACTCATAACAAAGGGCACTTCCGTAGGTGCACGTCACGTCAGACATCACATCCTATTCCGACCCACATCAAGAAAATCCATTAGGACATTGGGCATTTCTATATTTAACCCATGAATTCAACACGTATAAAAAAAGATTTCACCACCATCCGAGACATTACAATCTCGAGCCTCTGAACCGACAGCATCACTCAAGACTACAATTAATAAGAAACGAAATCACACTATCTATATTGAAGGAAGATTTTACAGATGGCAATGGGAATTATCCAAAGTATGTAGAAGTATGATAAATAGTACATAATATTTTATTGTGGGTTATTTAACGTTGTGGCATATTTTTTATCTTGTTTTGCAAAGTTTAACTGAAATTTAAAGCGTTCAAAAACAACTGTTGGAGTTTTATTGAGAATGTTTAATCTTAACTGAATGTTTTTATCGTTTTAGATTCATGTCTGCTACTCTTGTGCTTGGCTAGTTGCACTGTCGCAGTGCCTCTGAGGAAATCCCGCGATACCTCTTCTTCGACGGCGGCACCAACTTCGCCCCTTCTTAGATGGCACCAACCGTGTGGGGGTAGTAGTCCTGTGAGCAACGGCCCAGCCCTACCCGCGATGCCTGCTCCTCCTCTGGGTCAGTCTGCTTTCACCATACGTATGCACATCACTGACAATATGAACAAAGTGAAGGATCTTCGTAAACGATGGGTAAGGGTTTTTCATCATCTTCTTCTAAATGAAGAAAAAAATGTAAAAACTAAAACATGATGATGATTCATATACTGAAACCTAAACTTTTTAAAGTATAGAAATTTAGTTTCTTATACTAACATCAAGTAATGCAGCTTTTTATTGAGATCGAAACTTATATGAAATTTCTGTTATTTCAGGTACAAGAAAGATTTCACAGCGATCCTGAATATATCAACTGGATTGAATCTCAGTACATAGTGTACAGTAGTTTGCCACAAGAGGAGCACTGGTCTCAGTTTGTTGGGATTCAAAATGCTGTAAATAACGTAAGTCCTCCAATTTCGACATGTGATTCTAGTAATTTTTTAAAAGTTATATTACATAAACTAGTCTATATGTTTTAATGATTGTCGCTTTTGGAAAAAATGTTCTTCTATGGAAAAGATAGTTGAATGTTTATCTTGCTCATTTCAAGGAATCGTGACGTTTGTTATTGCACCATTGTTTACATAGTTCCTGCAAAACGCTTGCATCGCCATCTGCAGTAAGAAATAATAACTAACGTTTTCTACTTCTATTTCAGATGGACGAGTTCTTTTCACAGAGTTATATTTGGCTAGCCAAAATAGCAGTGCACTTAGAAGAAATAAGGATAGATGAGCTCGCGTCCAATACAGTTTTTAACCAAGAAAACGTCGATGCTCATATGATCCAGAGTGCTGAGGATCAGCTGTACGTCTGCATGTGCGCCGTTCATACCCTCATGACGTCCAGGAACCTGCAGCTGGACCAGACGATCGAGCGAGACATACTGGAGACTACTTTCGCTGACCCGCCAGGCAATTCAAAGACCCTGAGGTACAACAGAGACTGGATCGTTTTCAACCATTTCCTGAAACTCCTAACTCATTTGGAAAAGGTTTACACCGAACTCCAACAAATGTAAGAAGTTGAACTCTTTAAATTTTGATAATCTCCGTGGTAATACGGACAAAACAGTTTACTTGATTTGGGTCCGTTCTGTTATCTGTGCCTAGGGGTGTGCAGCTGCATGAAGGACTACGGCATCTATTATGATCTCTTACAATACAGTTTATCCATTATGGCATTCCAGCTTTAAGTGTGCGTTTACAAATTCATTTGTATATTTACCATTAAAAGTTGAGGGACGAAATTAGTAAACAAAGAGTAAACTCAGTGCTTTAGAATTTTCGCTTATGTGAAAATGATAATAGTAGCGGCTATGCCGTGTTTTATGTAAGTGGGTTTTATCCACTGTCGATTATTTGTGTTTGGATTGGATAACTTTGTGCTATGTGTATTCGTATTTATATATATTCATTATTTATCATATAGGGAATTTAAAATACCAATTCCTATAGTTAATAATTATGCTTGTACATAGGCTTTTATTTATTGAACTTCAATGTTCTTGTGAGCTTTATACCAATTTTCCAGTCGATTCAATGTTAGCAGTGATATATTTATAATCTTCATCTTCCATTTTGGAATTAGGTATTTATTGAGCTGCCTGTGATATTTTTGTGAACTTACAATTTTTACCATATGTTGAAACAATAAAGTTGTTAAAGTTAAATCTACTGCTTTGTCTCTAACTTACTTTGTTTAACTGCTACGATTCAAGCGCCAGCGATCAGAAGGAACTTATTCTTGTATACTTTTACTGCCAGACGTGAAAATGAGAACGAAGTTTTTTATCACCTTAAATGATTTGGGCATTTGTTCCTGGACATCTCTGATGTAACCGTTTTGGAGATGGAAACTGGTCGCTGACTTTACCTTAAAATATCACAAAATTGACCCTATATTTATATTTAGTCACTACATGCCGTGTTCTCATTCTACGGTATCAAGTACTGTGAAAATGAAAGGCCAAATTTGCTCATTAGTCATCATATATTTCCGACAGGTCGGACTCTCGAGCAGACGGGGTTTTTTTTGTTCTTATTCACTTTTTAATATTTATTGATTGATTTTAGGGGTATCTGGTGCATTGAAGGTGGTCAAAGACATAATGAAAGCGAATTTAATTGGGAATGATGTATGGAATGCGTGTCATCTATAAGATTTTAATGGACAAAAGCAACGATAAAAGATTATTCAGAGGGCCACAAAAAGTTATTTGGTTCGACGCAGAAAAGAAGGCATTGACCCCATGAGCATTAGCTTAATTCTTGTCAATACCAGAATTAATTCACAAAATTAATTACTTCTTCGATATAATGTTTTGTCCTCAAATTAAAGCTAGTCGTTACATGACACCACGTCTAATTATCAAGCAGAAGTGTAAGCTGCATTTCCAGTTTTTGAAAGGACGCAAGAATGTAAATCACAATGCTCGCTAATCAAAAACCTTCGGCGTTAAAATGGATCTTATACATTATGCATCACAATTAACAGAGATTCTCATTGGAATAGATAATTAATACATCCGATGAACTTGTCTTTCATTATAATATATTGTCGGAGTTTGATATTTGGTTTCCCCTCAACAACTCAATGATCTTCCTTTTTAATTAAGCAGAGATGAACGAATAGACTAATAGGGATAGAGTTGTCAAGCATTTGTCTCAATGTATCATTAAACTAATCCCATATCAAATTGACCACTTCTTTGTCTATGTCATGATTCTCTTGACAATTAGCATTTGAAAATAAGGGAAGCATTTTATCATTAGTCAACAAATATTTCCAACAGCCTACACTGTCACCTTTTTTGAGAAAATCTGACTCAAGGAATTCTTTATTTGAAAAATGTGATATTAGAAGCAGTCAAGATGTAATTGTGCCAGTTAATGAAACCAATGTAACTTGAAATGCTGAATGGAATGATCGATCAGGCATTACGAAATAAAGAGGCAATTAAAGCAATAGTCACAAGCAATGAGAGTTTTTTAATCTGATGATGAACAGAAGGCATTGGCGGCCTATTAGCTTGTGTTTTCTTGTTAATACCGATTCACATATATATTTTGGTCCTGGAATCGAAAAGGTGTCGTTATAAATCAGATGAGTAATGGAAGATACCAGATTGTGGGGTCATTTTGAACGAAATGAAAAAATTCAATTGTTTCTACATTTAACTTTTAGCGATACAATCAGAATTCATATTTACGCCGACTGTGCAAAAAAAAAAAAAAAAAAAAAAAAAAAAAAAAAAAAAATCACCCTTCAAAGCTTTAGGGCTACCAGTCTTAACGTTCTACCAGCCCGAACACAAAACCACCTGCCTCAAGTGAAAGTGATCAAATGCCAAAATTAAATGCAGCCACATACTGTTTTAGCACATTAAACCAAATTCAGACGTTTTCCAAGTTAACGAGATATTCTAAATATCGGAAAAGTAATCTTTCACTGGTTCGACTAAAAATTATCTAGTTAGAAGCATCCTGTTTCATCTCACTGGGTCGTCTTCTTCTTAATGCGTTTGGGATTGTGCTCTATTTGTATAATGCATGTATATCATAAGGATAGTTTCTTGAATTGATCCATTAATGCTTTGATCCATCTATGATATTGGTTTGAAGAATTGTCCTATGTCACTTTGCAATATGTTGACTGTGGGCCCCTTCAGTAAACCCTTGACTTTACTTCTACGCAATTTCTGTTACATCCCAAAAATATGCAGCATAAATCACTTACTTCCCTATAACTAACTATTTTATCTTTTTTTTAAATTATATTTATTTGAAGCTCAAAGTTAAAATGTGTTGACAGTCATACCAATTGGTCGGGGTGTAATTGCTTGTCGTTATTGTATGTTGATACCCTGATCTCACTTTACCGCCTACATGTTAATACATGTAGATCTATACAATAAATGAGGAGCCTTAAGGACCACGCCCTCTTTCTCTTAAGATGTCTAAAAGACTAGCAGCAGCTGTTCAATTATTTATCTATCTTATTTTATTATTGCAATAATCATACCAATAACCATGGTAAATTAAGACTTAAAAACAAGATTACAATACACTGTGTATCATTTTCTGCTGGTGGATTAATAAACCCTTCTCATTTTTTATTTCGGAAATATCAAAAAGAATGTTTACAGCAAATAGGTTACTGGGTGCGTTCATACAATTCTAGACTTAACAAAAAAAGAAGAAAAAACAGAATATGAAGCCATTTAAAATATGAGACTATTTAATAATGCAGCGTACAAAGCGATACTACATTTAGAACAACAGACACATTACAATATTGAAACAGCGGAATAAAAAGGAAACTAATTAAGCCGAACTACATAAAACCGGTGTTGTTTCTTTATTGGCGTGGTTCAGCTATATTTCAGTATAAGACAGCCATTGACGGTCTCTGTGCGGTCGACTGCAAACACAAAACATGTGTTGTGAGAACATTAGCTGAATACTTGTGGATGGAGTGATTAACGGGAGACTAAAGTGTAATCTTGGATAAGGCACGTCTTGTGCTCGTATTTTCGCCTTCTTGGAAAACGTAAAAACTGCTCACGCCATAGTCAATGATAAAAAGCAAGATTTATAGACAAAGTTCAATGTTTTTCCCGACTGTTGTGCAAAATAAAATCAAACTTGTTTAAGTTTAACGAAAAACAAAACAATTAATTTGTTCTTACGTTAATAAGACCCTAATTTGGTCAGTACAATAATACTACGCATACGAGTGCTTCTAGAAGGTAAATCTACCGGGTTCAACAACGTAAGCGGATATCAAGAGGGGTGAGCCCGATGGAAGCACCATTTCCCTTTGTCCTACCCAGATGCTGTGGCAAAACAACCTGTTTCTTTGAGGTCGTGACTGAGTTGTTAATATTTCGGCCAGCCAGATGCTCGCTTCCAGCCTAATAATAGACTTGAGTGAAATGCACAGTGTACATCCTGGAATTTTTTTTTTTTCAATTTTAAGAAATGAAAAACATGCCCAATTTTCTACCCACAAAATGTTTTTTTTTTCACAACAGTTTAATACACGATGCATATCCCGAATCAAACTACCCATAATTTTTACATTCTATAATGTTTCGCAATAGACATGGAGCAGTTAAGCCTCTTCAGAATCACTTATATCCTCTTATGGAAATTGTCTTATTTCTAAAAGGATGCCGGGAGTATGTTTGGATCACTGGGAAGGACACAATCCTTGCATCCAATGCAGGGTAACCCAGGTTTTCTTACATGTGATTGCACCCAATGTCCCAAAAAAGTTCTAGGAGTCAATTCAAAAACACTAAGCACACGGCACACACAGCTGCGAACAGAGAGTAAACAAACTACATTGTACATTACACATGTATTACGTATTATGGTGTGACATTAAGTAGTTAGGGATCTGTCATTTACCTTTTGCACTCTCGAAGAGAGCGTATTACAGCTGTTAAGACAGAAGAGTGTATGGCGTAGGGGTGTCGTGCATATTGTGGTAAAAAGCACGATGCAAAACACGGATATTTTGTGTAATTGTCGACCGCCATTAAAAGGATAAGTCATTATGCAATTTTAAAGGGAGTGTTTATTTGTTTGTGATTTTTGAAAATGGTCCACGTGACACGAAGAAACCAATATGCTAAGTAAAACTTTACAAATGATTTTTTTAAATCTTATTTTAATATACATTATATCTAACGCATATGATTCACAGTGCTCAGCTTGAAATAACTTTACACTGATTGCCACGACCTTTTTTATTTTGAGTCAACTCAAGACGATGTATCCTTTTTCCGCAATACATGTATATATTGTTCACATATAATACGCTTCATTTCCAATATCGATACAGTAAGAATACCCGATAAAGCCAAACATTTGTTGAAGTCTATTTTGGTTAATAGTTTTGCCCAAGCCTTTGACCACACCAAATACCACAGCAATGCATTGTCACGTAATCCAAGCTGAGAAAAATCATTTTACGATTTTACTTCCTCTAATTATTTAGACCAGTTCTTCCTTGTCAGGACAGGGAAGAGTTGTGAAATACTGTCCTACCGAGGAAGGACTGAGCACATTCAATGACTTTGTATTTTTTGAAGATCCAAGATTAAACATTTGATAGGTTTTCTTTATCCAACAGCTATTTATACAAGAAAATGAAAATGCGCCTTCCTATAATTTCATCATCTCATTTCCGTGGTCAAATGTAACCGAAAAGTTAATGTATTATATAGCAGTACAAACCTTATTACCCGAAATAGCTACTGATAAAAGAAAAATAATGCTAAAATGTAAACTCTTTGAGTTAAATTGGCTTGAGGAAAAACAACCCTGTGTATTATTTTTCGTCTTAATTGTCTTTCCTTTCGGTTGTAACGCAGCGTCATCGTTATTTTTACTCCCGCATAATCATTCAATAATTCGTTAACCTGCACCCTTTATCGAGGGGCAAAACAATAGAATTCTACTTATTTTTGGGGGACATGGCATACGTAAATCCTGTGGTAAAAACGAACAGGACAAACCTGACCAAAACACGATAACACTGTAGACTACTTCCCTGCAGTGTCATAACTGTCATTTCAAACCGCAGTCAACAATAATAAAATTGATGAAAAGGCACTTCATCACCTATCAAATCTATCATGTCTCATCTCGTCATACATTAAGT